GTAGTAGCCGATTGAAAGAGAGATTTTTTTCCTCTCGTATCTTCTTCGTTTTTCGGTTGTTGTTTATGCAAGAGACAAAATTCAACACCACCTAATGCGTTACGTGTTTGAGTTGCGATCGGGTATGCTCATCTGTTGGTGATTGTCTTGTTCAACAACACCGAAAAAAAATACGAACATAAGAAAAGGACACGTTTGCCACTCAAATGGATGACACACTATCTCTTTTTCCATTCGATTTGGTCAGTTCTTTTCTATTCTCAATTTTCTCTCCACCTGAAACGTTTCAATAATCAACAAGATAAATAAAAAGAGTCGCAAAAAATAAATAAATAAATATGTTAAGTAATAAATGGTCCCTTGTTGTCTTTTTTGCTAGAAGCGATCATGCAAAAGGTGTCTGTGCCAGATTTTTGTATTTTTCTTCTGTCCTCCCTTAAACGATACCCATTGTGTGCTGTTTTGTGGCACATACAATGCAAAGGCGTATAAATGCGACACACAAAATCTAAACAAAACCGTCGTTGTCAAATGCAATTGTCCAGAAATTGAAAAATCGAATGTTTCTCTTATTCGTTCGTTTTACTTTTTTTCTTCGTACTTTTTTTCTTTTTGGTGCTCTTAATGCGGCAATTATATAAGATAATGAAGACGAAAACTGAGCGACTTACCGTTAATTACATTTGTCTGTTTTCTGTTTCATAATCACACAAGCCTACAATTGGTGCGCGTGGCCGGAATTCTTGGAATTGCACTTGTGTTTTTTATTCTTTTTTTTTTGCAAAAGGGAAACTATGTATGGCTTCTATTTTATATTTATACACATATTATGAGTATAACGTGCAAAAATTGATGCGATTGCTTAATAATCGAATTCCCATTGAATAGTTGTGATTCCCATGTGTACGTTTCGATTTATTGGAAATACATCAAAACAAAGTGAAGAGATCGAAATGCGCCATCGATTTTATGGTGAAGTAAGCAATTTGTCGATATTTTTATTCCTTTCGTACTTGCTCTCTTCATTTGAATTTGCCATTGTTTTTGTTGCGTTCATATTTCCCAGTAATTCACAGAGTTAGCGCCCGTAATCGTTCCTGCATATTTTATTGCCTAGCATCTGGAAAGAACATATATCGCTAGAGTCTTTGTTTTGTCGATTTTGTACCTTGATGTCGTCTCGGCGGTAGCCGTATGTTTGATTTGTTGAAGAAGTGAAATGAACTACAGAGAAGAACGAAAAAGAAATAACAACTTCATTTGCAGTGCGCGAATTTCGCGCTATCTCTCTATTGCATGGACATTCAACTGCACATCGAGTGTTCATTGCCTGCTGAATTGCGGTTACATGGCTATAAATTTTGTTTGTTTTGTTTATGCATTGTGTGTGCATAACTCTATTAGACTAAGAGAAGACGAAACCATAAAATTGCGCGCGCAAAACAAACATATTTGTTGCCTTTAATTCTCTAAACAAATGCAAAATGTCTCTCTAATCCAATCGACTCCAGCCGCACACATAAAAAATGCCGACCAGAAAAAAAATTCAAATGCAATTTTGCGGCAGTGCCATGAAATTAACCAAATTCGCGTGAACAATGTGAAAATCTTTCATCCAATTGATCGTTTCTTTTGGAAAATGCCAAGTGAGGCCAAAACACGAAAACGCAACCCAATTTTCGTAAGCGCGCGCGCGAACAACAAAATTCGCTGATTGCGAATCAAGCCAAACGAAGATTTATCACTTTTAAATGATGTGTGAACAGTTAGGCTGCTGTGTTTGTGTGCACACAGTGCATGCATAGCCTATGGGCGATTCTAGTTCCATGAAAATAGATATTATGCACATATCGTGACTCTCTTTCTCTCTCTCTCTCTCTCTCTCTCTCGATATTGCTCGCTTTTGGTTGTGGTTTTTTGGTTTTCCTCTATCAATTTCGTCGATTTCGTTTCCATTTGTGTTGTTGGCCTACGCTATTTAGGTTATACATCCATTTGGCTTGGCTGCCTCTTGTTATTCGACTCAAAGTCGATGCCAGGTTGTCGTTTTTTCTTATTTCTGGTAAAAGAATAGACTCAGAGATGCAGAGAAAGAGAGCAAGAGAAATGCGATTGCGACAATGTTGTGTGTGCTGGTGCCCCACCGCAAGCACGCTCGCAATATAATGCGTATCTATTGCAAATTTTTGTCTGTGCACTGTGAGTGTGTGTGTGTGTGTGTTTTCGAAAATGAAAAGAAAGAGAACTGAATTTATAACATCTGTTCAATATTTTGATTCGAAGTGCATGTTTCATAAAATATATAAATGGTAAATGCTTTGCCCATTTTTTCCATTATCATATTTCTTGAAATGAAATTGTAAAAACAAAGAGCAAGAGAGATACACGCTGAAATGGCTGAGGCGATGCACATTTCAAATGCAATTCGTAGGCTGGCCACACTCGCTCGCTCTATATCATGTTCGTTACAAACGAACGCCATATCAAGTTTCCACCCGGTTCGAAATTCAAATTGTGCAAACAGATTTTTTTTCTTCTGCATCGATATACTCACGCAATTCAAGGCACAGCACGACTGTTTTGATCAATGTTCTCTTTTTTTCTCTTCGATGAAATTCTGCAAAAATTCAATTGGAGCATTTGAATTCCAATCAACTCCTTGCTGTTTTTTTTTACTATTCCGGAATGACTAAGATACACTTTTTTCTTTGATGATGATGAGGGAGAATATTCATCGGGATTATTTAGTCACGTGTCTTTCTATTGTTTGATATTGAACAATTTTGACTTCATATTTTATGTTATTTCTTCTTTTTGATCGAGGGTGTATTTCTTTTGGGCCATACATGACTGTAGCATTTTAGCGAAATTACTGTATGTGTCATTCTGGATTTTGTGGTATCGACAAACGGAAGGCAAAAATGTTGCAAGGGAAACGAATGACGAGAGAAAATGCCGTGGTTAGTTGGTTCTTTGCCAGCTGATTTGTAAAATTTATGGGCATTGTATGCGTGTTTCCGAAACCGGCAATTTCGTTCGCTGAAGCCCCAAAGCAAAATTGAATCCGAAAGTGTGTTTCCTCTAAGGTATGGTCCCATATTCCTCTATGGCAATATATGTATGGTTGGTACCAAAACGGAGTCGAATTTTGCAGTCTTTCAAACTACAACTACTGTTTATTTTATAATTTATCGCCGGGAAAGAGAAAAAAATTGTTCACATCGACTAGTTACCCATCCCATTACGTACAGGAATATGATTCATTTACGATAAAAGTACATGTAGTTCGTTTTTTTCCATCGTTGTCCGTGTCGTTGCACTGTATGGCAAAGTCAAGTGCGTGTGCCCATATTCAAGGGGATTGAAAAATGTTTATTTTTTGTTTCTCAACTCAGCCTATCTTTCTCTCGAAATGCAATTGCTGCAGTTCGGATCAAATTACTTGTTGTTTTGAACACAGAAGGCTCATTTTAGCGTTCATTACATCGAACAAAAGCGAAAAGGGAGAGAGAGAAAGTGGGAAAAAATGGTAAAGTTGCACGAAAAACACGCTGATAGAAATCCATAAGTTCTCTTCAGGGAATACAGTATGCAAAAACAACGAAATTTGTAATCGATTCCGTTTGTGCTTATTTCTTTGTTGAACAGAGAAAAAAAACCATTTACATTCATTCGTTGACTTTTTGCCGTTTCAAATGTTCTTTCCTGGAAGTTTAAACATTTTATTAGGTTCTGCTTTCGCAATCCATTTGTATGCAAAACCAAATAGTCTTGTGATTTCGAATAAATAGATGTATATGCGTTACACACATTACACTTTCGAAATACGATGAGCAACAGCAGCACAGTACAACTTTAATTTAAACCGCGTGGTCTGCAGTTACATGCGTTCGCATGAAATGCGCGGTTAACTGTGCTGTGGTATGGTTCAAAAGTCCAATGTAAATGCAAAATTGTTCTATCATCCAACAGGCACAGTCGAAATGAATCTATTTAAAGTAATTGACGAAGCATTAAATCGTCTTAAGTGTCGGCGATAGCGGTGTGACGGTGATTTGCAATTTCTTGTTACACAACACCCCACTCAATTAAAAACGAAACCAAATACAAAACCAAAATAAATGACGACGACGACCGCAGCAACCAAAACGATGTGAAAGAACAATCATTTTGTTTACATTCCCCAGTGGATAGTTTTGTTTGTAAATAAGCCGAATCACATTCAATAGACTATTTTGCATCATTTTCTAAATTGATCCCATGTGATGTTGTTATTTTTTTCTTCTTCTTCTAATTCTAAATTTGTTTTGGTTTTTCGGTTGTGTTTTTCTTTCGTTACACATAGGGACATGATAATTTTGGCCATAGCATCCCCGAATTAGAGACCAGCACATCCACTGCTTCAATTGTCAATTTACCAAATTCATCGTCAACCACATCGACGCTACATCCACAGCATTTCACCGATAACAGTAGCCGACAGGAGATTATTTGCGAGAGATCATCCGCTCAAGAGATCATGTCACCACTACCAATGCACAATCGGCCGCTGATGGGCCGGCGGCTTTCGCTCAGCATAGACATCCTCATTTGGATATTCTGTAAGTACCATTTTTCATTAGAATTTATTATCATTATTATTGCCAAAAATAAAACCGCTTAAGATCAACAATGATTCAGGATTGTGTGAGCTCTCTTTTCTATTTCAATTGCGTACGCGTAGCCGCCACGAATCAATCGCGCATTTTATTTACATTCCGAAATAGTTGCGCGCCGCAGATTATAATGAAGCTAGTAAAAATTGGTTATGATATTCGGCGCTCTCGCTCTCGCGCAATAATTTCCATTTAAACGAAATTATTGAATTTCCGGCGTGCGATTGATGTGTGTGTGTGTGTGTGCGCGCGCGGACGCGCAACTTCTCGATATTAGCACTTTGCTGAACAATAGCTCAGTTGATAGCTGTCATGCGAGCGCAGTGCGACACATCATTCGCCAAATTAAAATACAAAAGCCGCACGATAACGTAACAATTGCCCACAATCAATCGAAGATGAACATGGAACATGTCGAAATGTGTATATGCGTGTGTGTGAGAGCGTCTAACTCTATGTGACAGTGCGGTTTTTTTTTTGGTCAAAATTACCGCCGATTCATTTTTTTCCATTGTTTTTGTGATGCGGTGCGATTTCACGGCGTTGTTATGACGTCACACATACAAACAATAACTTTGGAATGCTTCGCACTTCAGTCCAACGGCAAACACACAATCTCGTCATTATGACGAATTCTCAACGCGAGATTGCCGCGCTTGACACGTGTTCTGCGTAAAGCGTGTACATGTCCCGCTCTCACTCTCTCTACTTCAATTGGACTTGAAACGCAGAATGGAACCGAAATCAATGAAATTCCGTTGTTCACAACTACGGAACACTACGGCTAGTAATGTTTTCTTGATTGCTGTGATTATTTCACACGCGTGCAATTTAAATCAACACACACCAGCCGCCATCGTTCAAAAGGAAATTACGACGACGAAAACAACAATTTTCTCTCTCGCTCTCCCTCGCTCTCTCTCGCTCTCTCCCACTGTGTTCTATGGCAAATCAGCCTTATAACGCCTCAAAAATATTTGAAACAGAAAAACGCTCCATTTTAACACTTTCCATAAAATGCTCAGCGATGATAATAAAAGCGGTTATTGATGCAAATGAAGTGGTGCTCACATTCATTTCAACCAGCTCATTGTTATTGTTTCGCTCATGAGAAACTCTTGCATATGTGATTCATTTTCCCAATTGGGGTGAAGCTCAGAATACAAAAGTTCATTCCGTGCAACCTGAGCAAATCCACAAATACGGAACGGAGAGATAGAAGCAAAAAACCAAACGAGAAACAAGTGAACGGATTTAATGGGCTTTAAATATATTCGAAACAATGTCACTAAACGTGACCGAATAAAATTTACGCTGAACAACAACCAATGTGCTGGCAATCATGATAAGACAATTAAAATTAACACATTTTCGTTCGGAATGCAACGTGTTGTACATGGAATGTGCGCGTATAACGTGCATTTTCATATGATTTCAAATAAAAACAACGAAAATCGATTTGAACGTGATGGCGAGCTGAGCGATATGCATTCGATGTCATAAATTATTTAATGTAAAACGTAGTTCGAAAACGTTGAGCTATTTTATGCTTTCAGCTGAACAAAATAGAAATAAATCGGAAACATTGTTTGGTTTCCATTGTTCAACACTTTTTGTAATTCGACGACCATCGACGGAATGATGAAGCATAATTGATTGGGAAAAAAACGCAGTTGAATGACATGTGCAAGAAAATCTCTTAACACGAGGATATGTATCTCAGAACAGAGTTTTTTTTTTCTTGAAAAAGAAACAAAAATAAAAACCTCTTGAACAAAGCAAAGTGAAGAAATTTAACCGATTTTGAAAAGAACCATCGCAATGAAGTCAACAAGACCGTTGAAAGATGTTCTCTTTCAAGAACAAACTGTCATATGAAGTGTCGTTCTTATCTTGTTTGTCAGTTAGAAAGAGGATGGTGGCCGTGTGTATGTGAGTGAGCGGGCGCGCGGTCTCGCTGCTGTCTAACAAAAGAACAATGCATTTAAAACAGAAGCTCATCTCGCCCGGTATCTATTTATACAAGAAATTGTTAGCTTAAACATTTACTCAGCTCAAATATTGATTCGGAAGATCGTCCAATGGAGGAGGCGCAGTACTTTCACTGGAATGCTTTTTATTCTAAAATAAAAGTGCGCATTCTATCCCGAATAGCCGACGAAGAGTGAGAGAGAAACCGAACGAAAATAGACTAAAGACACAAAATGCAAACACTTATCTCATATTATCGTTTATCAGCTGAATTGTGTGCTTGTTTATCGAATGACTGGCGGTCGCTTGCATTTAACACGTCGCGAGTGCTGCTGGCACATACACACACAAACACGTAGTCACTAATAAAGTGACTAATTTCAGCATCCGATGCAATTGTTTGCTGAATGCAATGAGCATTGCTGCGACGTGCTTCCGAAGAATCGATATTGAACATAGAAATGGTACAGTGCGCGCTTGTTGCAGCAAAATCACACACTAGGTTCATTAATTGAATAGGGAACGTATAGAATGTGTGTACCTACGGCACACGGAAAGAATGTGAATGTATGTAATGGAAATCGAACCGCGGTGAAATCGATTGCAAGCCATGATTTTTGTGCAGGGTTCACCTCTTTCTCGGTGTGTGCATGTCATTTGAAAATTGTAACAATTGATTAGAGAAATCCGGATTCTGCAACACGGTGCAAACGAACGCATGTGCACGGCATTAAAACAAACATTTAAATTGGTGGCATGCTTCAAACACCCGCTCTGCCAATCTAATGCAATCGAGTGAACGTTGTGTTAGTGTGTTGTTCAATTGAAAATAATTTTGTGCTTGCTTCGTTTGGAATCGTGTGTTTTTGTTTTTTTTAGAGAGAGAGAGAGAGATTTTAATCGCATGATTTTACCGTTCTTTATTCATTCGTACTTTCGGGTTCAAAATAATCATATGGAGCTCGATTTTATTCAATTTAAATTCGAGCGACCGCGGTGTTTACATGCCGTTCTGTTTTTCTCGAATAAATGGGCATTTACCGTCACAGGATCTATGTAAACAATTGGCTTCGTGGAAGCTATGAAGCGATTTTAGCTTTGTTGCATCCGTGGCAACGGCGCAAAAAGGCAGCAACAACAGCAGCATATCGGCTGAATAAGTGATTCAGCGAATCAAATCGGGGAGGGACAAAACCGCATGTTGATTTGAGTGATTAAAATGATCGCAGGCATTCTCATAATCGGTTGGTAAATAAACTCATAAATTGATCGAGACCATCGTGCGTAGCAAATGCAATGGGAAAAAAACTGCAATACGCAATAAGTTCAGTGTACATTCTCATTGTCATTATCAAACTTGTTATGAGTTATTGAAGTATCATCATCGTCATCGTCATCATCATCGTCATCGCCACAAACCGCACAGGGGAAAAAAAGGGAAAGAATTGCGGCCGGGCGCGAGAAAAACAGAATTAAACGCCAACATCGCATAAAATTAAATCTGTTTCACGCTGATCAAGAGCAATCAACGCATATTCAATCCCATCATTTGGCTGTGGTGCCATACAAATGCGACTCTGACACTTTCATAAAACAAAACAAAACAAAAAATTACACGAAATAAACTGCGAGACAAACTAACAAGCGTAATTTGTATGCTGAGAACGAGGAAGGGAACGGGAGAGTGAGAGAGATAGAGAGGGAGAGAGAGAGAGAGAGAGAGAGAGAGAAGAAAAAAGAATTCATGCGACGCAGGAGCAGCAGTGCAAATTGCGAATTCATTTTTCTCTCACTTGTGCGCACTTGAAAATTTCACGTGGTGTCAAAAAGTCACTTCCATTTTTCGATTGCCATTTTTTCAACCTTGAACTTGATTTACAAACCAATTTAACCAAATCAACTGCCGTCATATTCGCCTAACAGAGACACATAGGAACAGAGAATGCGATGGAGGCAAAAGGCATCAAATTATTAGCGCAAAATATCACATAACCGATTATAAACTAGCATTAACATTCATATCCGCAGCGCATCTGCGCAAAATGCGCACGCAGAAACAACAAATGCTTTCGTACATAGTATCCGTTATTTTATTTTTAGTTTCGCATAACAACGAAATAGTGAGTCAACATTTAAACAATTCTGTGGTATACCAACCAATCCGTGAAAAATACACTCTCTACGGTTTTTACAAACAATTTTAAAATCGCCTGATTAACACACACTGCAACAGTACCAATCATCAATGGGCCAAAGCAAATTCCATTGTAATTAATAAAGCCATATTTTTTCTTCTTTATGACATTTTTTCCCGCTTTTTTCCTCTTCAATTTTTACGATCGCAATTAAACAAAACGCATAAATTTCATTCATAAATTGTGAATGAATCAGACATGAATGATAATGGATTTTTCCGACAAGCTCGACACTCGCCGCGACATAAATTTCACTCTATGATCTTTGCCACTTTCACTAGTGCAGCCGACAATAGCATTTGTCGAAATCGTATGACGCGCATTCAACTCAATTATCTAATAAAACACTCGCAACACTTGGTTCATAGTATGAACTTCATACCAGGCCCCACACACACACACACACGCATGTAATAAATAACAACAAAAAATTTAATTACTCAACCAGAAAAATCTAAGCGATTTTCCATCCGAAAACAACACAAACCCAGTCACTAGATCGCTTCTAGAGCATGTACTGGTTATGAGAATGAAAAGATGCAGAAGCATCTTGTTACGCAAGTCTCGTGATGCATATTTGCTCACTCATTCACTTAATCAACACATACACATAGAGAGTGAGAGACGCTCCCAAGACTTTATTGTGTCATGGTAATCATTTTAATTGACCGAAAATTTCTTAATTAATACACTCGCGCTCAATAAATGATTTTAATTCAGTATATCTGGATCGACCGATGAACTAAGCACAATTTGTCTATCGTTACAATCTTCGTCGACGATATGCGTCGGTGAACTTTGCACAGTTATTCTGCAGTTTAAATTCAAAATGTGCATTTTTCTGGGTGTAAAGTGTGAAATTGTTGTATTTAAAATTTAAAGAAAAAGGCAAAAGGAACAACTACAATGCCTTATTTAAAATTTATAATATTTTACTGTGGTAAGTAATCGAAATGAAATCATCTTTGTAGAATACGGTTGTTCAATTCCAACAATCACAAATCATTATTCACGTTCGATGTTCGGAAACGAATTGTTATCATCGCTCAATGCAGTACATTCCTTCCGGTTGCAAGAAATCACAATCCGTTTTTGTTCCGTTTCAACAATTGCATCCGTTCGATACGATCGATCTGTCCAATTAAATCCAAACCAAATTGCTGATATGATAAAACCAAAAGAAACCAATGAAATTATTGCTAATTTTAGACTTAACTATCTTCGATGTTACAATCGAGTATCAAAGTCAAAGTGTTGCCCTTTTGCCGAATCGAAAAATCGTCGCAAATCGTCGATTCTATAGTTCGAATCAATTGCCAATGCCAAAACATGACTTTGTCTTTTTTCGAATGTATAACGAATCGTTGTGTTTTGTCACAGTCGCGTTGTAATGAAAACCGAGCAAGAATGAAAGAAATAGCGCAATCAACGGAATATTACAATGTAATCAGCATTTGAATGGCAAGCCCTAAGTGCAGCATTGCTCTCGTTGCATTAGACATGGTGCAGCCGCGGAATGTGTGCATGTACAGCCGAAGCCAGAGTTGGAATTGAGGAACAACATTAAATAAGAATGAAAAAGAAAAGAAGAAAAACACTGTAATATAGTGAGCCACACACAGCAGCGGGGTGTCGTGTGAGTGAGTTGCGATAATTAAAAATATCATGTTAATAATGCCAAAGGTCGAATCTTCCACATTTGTCTTTCCTTTCCTATGCACAATCGGCAACATATCATTTGTACACTCCGTTCGAAGTGATGACTAAAGAGAAAGAGAATCGAGTTGTCACTTCTCTAATCCCTTTCGACGACGACATAAAATAGAAAGCATTATCATCTTGCACCGTCGCCGTTGTCGTCGCCACTGCTGCTGACATCGGTGATCCACATTCTTGGTCTATCGTAAAAACAGCAGTGGCATAGCACAAGCCAAATACCGCAATTTGGTTTCTTTTGTATTGTAAGGCGACCAACAACAACGACAAAAAAAAACCAGCCAAAACCGAGCGGTGAGAGGCGTCGAAACAACCGTTGGGCATCTCAACATGCATTTAGTTCGCAATTTGTCGAGAACAGACGTCAATCGACCAATCTCAATGCAATCAATAGACAAATCGGTTATGAATCATGATAAATTATGATGTATTTGAAGTAAACAACAAAGAAATGCATTGAGTTGCATTTTTTGTTGCTGAAAATCAGAATTCTTTCATTTCCTCTTTTTCTCGGAGTTTTTTTTTCTCGTAAATTTTTTTTAGTTATTTTTCTCGTTAGACGAACTGAGTTCAAAAAAATCAATTGCCACAAAAACAATTTGTATTTCAATTTGTCGGTCGGTCAGTCGGTTCTTTTTTCAGCTGACAAACCAAAGAAATATTTATTCCCCAGTGCATTCAAGATCAACGGCTGAAGTCATTTATCTTTTTCTCGTGTTCGAAATAGTTTGGATTTTGCGTCTTTTGCTACAACACCATCACATCATTTTGTTGTACATGCTCTTTCATTGCAACGACATTACGATGGAAATTCCTTGCTTATTTTTTTCAATTCATACATTCGCTCAAGCGATCATTAATCAACGGTCGGCAACAAACCGATGGGAAATGTGCAATGTGTACTTTGTTACCTAGTTCTCTCTACTCTTTTTTTCGCCTGAAAATTGGAACGTTATCGGCGGTATTCAATTTACCTCTACGCACATTGGCACATTGTTTTTACTCGGCAGCTACCTTTGATCTATCGATCGATTTCACTTCGGTGTTTGGGCCCATTAGGTTTACTCGGTTGCCGATTTTGACCGTGATCATGCATTCGGTTCGGTTGTTCGGTGCAGCTTCAATAAACCAAACGATTTTATTGGCATTTATGTTTAAATTGGCAAAAACCCTAAATTCCATGACCCAATCCATTTTGATAAATTGGCACGGTAAAAGTGATGGGCCGCAAACAGCTCACAAACCAATTATATATACATTGAACATTGGTCAAACTGTGTGCGCTTGATTCGGTTGTCCAGAAATGCGGTTTTCGTTTCGGTCATTCGTTCATTCGTTCATTTGAAGAGCATACACGGTACTATATCGCGCATTGGTCAAAGTGATGCACTCTCGTTGGGCACTTGTTAATTGAAATCGCTCTGGTGAAAAACATAACGGCCGTACTTGACATGCAGGCAAATGCACGCAGGCAAAAAACAAAAAAATTGTTCTATATTTTATGCGGTTAGGCATAATGTGCGACCACCGTAGTGTTGCTTCAGTATTAATTTCGATTGAAACTTTCCTTCCACTGTCGCGCGATACACAAGTGCCGGTCCACCGATGCTCTGCAAGGCGAACGAATATATACCATTGAAGTGGGTATATATGCTCAATTTCGTACAGAAGTTGTTGTAGCGAATTATAAGGCAACGTAGATGAAATTTGAACGTAGATGAAAAACTCACTTTTCACTTTAGAGCGATGAGATTAGTAATGAATATTAAATATTTATCGAAATGAGCGTAGGAAATGTTTTTTTTTTCTTCATCAAAATTCATATCAATAAATAAGAGATGGGGAAAAAAGTTTCAAGTGAAAAAGTAAGAAAAAAAAAACGAAATTTTATTCATTAGTTTCGAAGCAAAATATTCGTTGAACAATAAAAGTTCAAAATGCTACGCTGAGACGTGCATAAGTCCTTACTCTTTCTACCACACTCACAAACTCTCGCACCCACACTTCGCACACTCTCCGAACATTTGAATATTCTCTGTCATTAACATGCTCACGTCACTTTGTTATAAGCAACAGAAAGCAAATTATGTTTAGTAAAAAAATCATTCAAACTAATTCCCTGAACAACAACAAAATGAATCACTAAAAATTCACTAAATTTATTTCATTTTCTATATTTTATGCGATTCAATTTATAGCCTGTTATCTCTCTAGTGCAGGCATAATATTTGCATTTTGTTTGTCATGTTTATATTTATACTTGCGCGCATTGAAACACGCGAGACACGTTCGACCATAAACGTAACATCGCAATGCACATTCACACGCATGCAAGCAGGCACTTTCAATCTGTGTACGCTGTGTCTATGTTTTTCATGTGAACGTGTGCTTGGGAGATAGACACTGCATCAAATGATATCAAAAGCGATTTGCACACAATTCACACACACACACACACACGCGTTAGTTGCAAAGAGATAAATTTTCAGTTATCGTAATTGTTATCGTGTCGACTTTTACTCACTTTTCTTGGGCGATAAATCGTTGTGTCGCATGAAATGTCTCATTTTAAGCGAATGAACATAAAAAAAATTTCGGAGCAGCGGAAAAAAAAAAGAGACTAGCATCGACACGGCATAGGAAGAATAAAAAAAAGACATGGCATTGATGCAAAGGCAGAAAAAGAAGGGAAACAAAAACATGAGAAACAAGTGAATAGTGTATAAAATGTGGCATCGCAACATAAGATCTAACATTGAAACAAGGTCGTCGATCAATGGCCACTTCAGAGGTGTCAGGATGTAAAATGCATTTGCATTTTCGTCTTAACGTTTCGATCCATTACACGAATCGGCTTTTTGTTTTCAATTAGGTAAGATAAATGTCAACAATTTGTTTAGTTGACGATATCGTTAAATTTAATATTCAGTTGCAGAAAACCGACCTGGTGTCTGTGTGTCTGTGTCTGTGCTTTGTTGATGTTTATGTGGAGCTTAAATCAGTTGCTATGCATACCTCCGGCTAAACATAACATGGATCAATCGATACGATCAGCAGCTGAAACGATTTAATAGACAGAACGATTGTGAACTCTTGTAATTTTTATTGCCATGTCTATGCCATTAATCTTACTTTTTCGTGGTCATTCTTTGTTTGTGCGAGTGTCATGGCACGATCGAAGCACAGTTTTCGACATCAGAATAGTTATAGTACCAGTGATTACCATAAAAAAAAAACTCCAAATCAAGCATATTGAAAAGCAAAAAAAGAAGTGTGGAATTGACTGGAAGCCATCGAGCGAGTTCGAACACACACACACACACTCGAAAGCATGCGAAATTGAAAAATGTAACGCGGAAAGTATTTTCTTTTTCTTCGCCGCCAAAGTAGTAAAACCGCTTACAGCCCAGCTAATGAACATAAAATGAGCACATGCAATTAATAACAATCAATAAGTGAATAAAAATAAATGCATATCAATTAGTGCGAGAAAAAAAATTAGAAATCTCTCTCTCTCTCTCTCCCTCTCTCCCATCGCTGCCATCATCGACAAATTTATTGAAAGCATCACGGCGGCACGCCACGAGCGATCGGCCAACTGCATGGACTCTCTTTCATAACAAAAATAGAATAAAAGCCAACGACGAATAAAAGATGATAAATGCTTTACTATAGGTACATGCATTAAATAAATAACTGCATTTACAAAATTCAAGATAAACATCCCAAGCGCATGATTCACATTGGAAATTAATTATTATTACAGTGGAAAAAAGACGAAGTTGCACATACTGTGCCACTGTCCATGTATTACGGAAATGATTGCGAAAATTGTGCTTTAGTTTTTCCTCGTATTTTGTAGAATATTTCGCGTTTGCTCGATGCGCAAGCGACACTTGAGATCAGAGGAGAGAAGAAAAAAAAACCTGCGGCGCATTCATCGTGATCGACATCCAACGGTTTTATTGCATTTTAAGATCGGTTTTAGAATCAAATGCTTAACGCTCGTCTTTTTTGCTGGGCGCGCGCGATTTGAACGAGCGTGTGTTCGAATCGACACGAAAAATCAAGTCAATGAAAAACATTGAACTTGTAACACGAAATGCAGATACACGGCAGCTGAATGCAAATTTATCGGCCGATATCGAGCGAAAGAGGCAGATAGAACCAAATGGTAATTCTCACTGGCGATTCAGTTGTTTTTTTTTTATTTTACCTATCGAAACCGTTTAATTGAGTCGATGATAACAAAAAAAATGATATATTTTCGTGAAATTAGTATACATGTCATTGGAAAATGGGAGTTACACGACAAGCATGCTCGTTTAAGAAACCAGATGCTGCACTTCAACCACACCAGCCCAATGGCTTGATCGTGGAAAATATGTTCGAACACGATCACCGCGATAACAAAACCGATTTTGAGCTTCAGCTAAAAGCACACACACAAATATTATTAACAATTATATATACTTGGATTATCTGAACGATGCCAGTTTCCATCATAAATCATCCAACTCAATTAAGTCATTCTCTGGCAAACGATACAAAACTGAATCCGATTTTGTTGTTGTTACTGCTTTTTTTCCATGGAAATAAAACTACTTCGATTCCTTGTAATGGGAAAAACGTATTTGTTCTCCTCCGGTTGTTACGATATATCAACAAGCAGCGCAATTTTTTGGTTTTGATAAACGATCTGCCTGCCTTCTTCCGTATCGCCTTGTGTTATCCTTTGTTCTCTGTATTTTTTTCTTTCAATCTGGTCTTTTCCGCCCATACGCGCGCGCGCACCCGATCTCGATTTTAATCGAATGTTTTACGATACAATATTTTTTCTTGCTCTCAGGGTACATTTTTGTTTATTCACTCCGTTAAATGGGCTTGTTTAGTTCAGCTCAGATAATAATGGGCTACGAATAAATCTTTTCTCTTCTATATTTGGATTATTTGTATTAAAAGCAACAACCAGAGAGTACATTGAATGCAGTTCGAGCCAAATGGCTGCGAGCATTTATAGTTTACAGCCACACAAATACATACATAAAATGCATTGACGCCACCCGCATATCACACTGTCTCATCTCTATCGATTACAATGATTCAATCGTTTAACATATTGATTGGCATTGATTATAATGTTTCAGTTCAGAGAAAAGTCGATAAATAGAATTTGATCCCAATGTGTGTGAGTGTGTGTGGGGCTTAAAATACCGGCAGCTAAAGATCTTAGCACATTCAATTTATGGATATTGAAATCAAAGCATGTCAAATTCAATTGATTTGGAAGAAATCTAGAGCACACATGTCCGCGTAGTAATGACGTTTATGATGAAAAGAATGTTGTGGCAATTTCCACGAATGTGTAACAACACGCGACATTTTATCAAACATAATTTGTTGTTTAGTAGTGGCGCGACGTGAGCACTATTATACTTCCGACTTTGATTAAAAAACAAACAAACAAACAAACAAAAACAAATCTGAAAACGCGGTTGATAACCGCCAAAAGAGCAACAGTCATGAAATGACGTAATTGTTTTTTTGCTTTAAGAGCCCGTAAAAACACGTTTTCGAAAATATTTTTGGCGCACTTGATTTGCGATGCATAGCAATGTGCATTGAGTGAGCGAGCGCACACGCACACGCACACGATGAAACGTGCATCCACTAAATTATGATCGAAACACGTGTATCAGATAGCGCACCAACCATCAAACGTTGAAATATTTCGCCATCAGAATTTATCGATCCACTAAGAAAAAAAAGTACGCGCGCGCGCGAACGAACGAAATAAAACAAAAAAATTGACATTTAATAGATTTAAATTGAGCAATGCATCGTGAATTATTGAAATTACACATGAAATGGCTCTTTGGCTGCTAAAATGTTTTGGTTGCAATGGGGCGCAATGGAGCAAAACATGGATGCTATTATGTTGGTGCTGTTGAGCGATGTGGCTTTAGGTGAATTTCATCCATACACTGATTTAAGATCACGACACATTTACGGCGCATTCATTGCTTGTTTATCTCGAAACTATCTGACATTTTTTTTTTCTCAATATATTCAAATCGGCTCGGCGGTGAATTGAAAATGTTCAAAGGAAAAACAAATTGCTTGGCTGCATTCAAATCAAATTGTATGCAAATATTTTGTTTTTTTTTTCATTCTTCGTTCTGTCTTCTGTTGGAATTTACATTCGAATTATATTATCGATTTCATTTAATCTTAATAAATGATTTCACATTGAATTCTATTGGTATTTTTCAACACTTTAAGTGTGACAGGCATTTTCTTTCAGTTTTTTTTCTCTCTCTGACTTCAAGTCGATTTTTTTCTCGTTTTTTGTCGTTTCAATAAATGGTACGACTAAAATAAACCGAAAAAAGTGCAACACTGCAGAGAGAATGGCTTAGCTAATGTGACTTTCTCGGCCATAACCATTTCGTGAAATGTTTATTTGAAAGTAGAAATAGACAAATGCAATCGTCTTGGCACTTAGTGCTTATCATCTTATGGCATGATTTTCTCGCTCTCTCTCTCTTTCTCTCCCATTTCTATCTCTCTTAACTCGAGCTACTTACATAAATTCATCCAAGAGACAAAGTGTTGCATTCAAAAATGGCTATGGTTAAGTAGATTTCCCATTGCTCTTGGTATAGTTTAAAGATTTTATTACTCTTTCTCACTTGCCTCATAACTCAGATGAAACGTGACAGAAGTGACGAAAAACGGAAAAAAAAAAACTATAACATGCGCCTAACAGAGATGCTGCCATTGCTGCTGCCTCCTGTTGACATGCCAAATTATTTTTATTTGATTTGGCACATTCCTAATGAACAATCGATTCAAGTTGTACGCAAAGTTCAAGGACTCAAGGTTTCATTAGCCCTCTTCGCCAAAACGATAATAAATTGAATTACGACATTAATCTGGCCAATGAGCATTCGCTGAACTGGAGAAAAATAAGAGAGAGAAAAAAAAGAAAGCCGACGAACTCACAGCACAATGATGTGGACAGTTGTCAGGACAATTGTTGTCTCTCGTAATGATGTGAAATATTTTTTTATTAATAAATTTATGATTTATAAAATACAATGCAGCCTTCTCTCATACACATAACAAATACACATCGTACAGAATCTCGATGGGCCGAGTTCAATGAACAGCCTTAACGATGTGCGTTTTCGTTGCTGTTGTTGTCATCTTGCCAACGCACAATGCACAAAAGACCGGACACGAAAGAATGTGTGCGTACGCGCACGCGAACCCAACACACCAAATATATTCCAAAAACGTTTCTAACGTCTAAATCCATTTAGACTAACTAATAAAGACAACTGATTCATTTGTGTGTGTGTGTGTTGGCCTGACTGAGTTGACAACCACAGTCGACAGTTCCATATATTTTCGATTAATTTTCATTATTTTAGATAATGCAATTTAAGATGATTTAGATGGAGAGAGAGAGAGAGAGAGAGAGAGAGAGAAAGAGAAAATATGTTTGATTTATTTACAAGCCGTAACGAAAGTGATTCCAAATCACCGAAGATTTCCAGTAGGTGGCTCACACCAATTGACGCTAATCTTTGAATTTATATGGAAATTCAGTGGAAAAAATTTCATTTTCAAAACTGTTGGTCAATTTGTCTTGATCGGTGGTGTTATCGTGCGCGTGGCTTGTCAATCACAAATTCCACGGGAAAAAATGAAGAATTTTGGGCTAAGACGTTGGCTGCATGAGCCAAACTATGTTTGGTCAAAACCTAAATTGACTTGAGCAGCAATAGATAGAAGAAAAAAAACAAGTTCTTTTTCGGAATCCCTCTAAACATCTACAACATTAGAAGGCATCATAAATAACAGTGGACAATGCAAATTTAATGCATACACACACACACACACACACACCAGCCGTCCCAATCGAATATCATTATGTGCATTAAGTTCAGAGTTTCGGCCATACACGATTATTCCACTGAATCACGATCATGTCAGTTAAATAGATTTTCAGTTGGTTTTTACGTTCAAAAGATATAAAACTCCGAACCATACATATCTACTCGAGAGGAGAGACAGAGAAATAAAATATGAAAGACATACTACCCATGTGTTCCGTCATTTTCAATCATTGACACACACACACACACACACACAAACTATACTATTATTTTCCATATTTTGGTTCTGAGCCCATTAAGAGAGCATAAAAGAAAGGTGCTCGAGTGCACCGTTACCATCCACGAATAATGGATTTAGATCGTTTACGACGAAATGACCGACAAACCAAAATGCAATCGCCAATTTACTATTTGAATTTGTTCTTGTTGCCGTCGTCGTCGTCGTTGTCGTCGTCGTCGTCGTCGTCGTCGTCGTCGTCGTTCGCGCTGGGAAAGAGTTTGTGATTTCTTTCTGCTTACATATAATCTTTTGAGTTATGGATTCCATTAAGGCAAAGGAATGGATTTGGCCGATGAAATGAAGCAATAGAAAACATATATCCAACAGTGCAACGGAACAATTTTTAGTAAAGATCGGTGCATAAATGCACATTGCACATAACAATCAACAACGAATAACACAATTCGAAATTAATATTAGCTCGTTATGGCTTCATTCACTTGTGTGTGTGTGTGTGTGTGTGCCTTTGGAGAATATTGCGCGGGAAAAAGCACAAACCTAACGAATCGCCGCCAATTGAACGGTGTGATCGGTTAGAAATCGGAGAATCGGGTGAATTTATGGCGAGAATTATGCCAATGATGGAATTGAAATTGCATGTGCAATGCACTTACCGCACCATTTGATATTGAACGCATATTGACCGCGGTGCACAGCCAACTGGAGTCCTATCATTTAAGTGATAAAATATGAATGATATAATGTTATTCCACTTAAACGATCCACGAATAACTGCGCAATAGAACGCTTCTATTTGATATTTTCCGAATGTGCTGCAAGACCAAATGAATATATATATATATATGCGATGATTACTTCCGTTCGTTGATAGTATTTCATATTGGAAATCATTGCAATTTTCCCTGCAGCGCGCGTCCACTCTTTTTCTCTTATTTGCAATGCCATTCACCAAATAATTAATATCAAATAAACATTTTTAATAAGAAATTATCTCAAGCTGACAGATTAATTTATTCGCCGAATAGATTAAGAATGTTTGCTATTTGTTATCGCTTTTTATATGGTGTCGAACTCTTTGGCCATTTCGATGTGAATGAAGCCATTGATAAATGATTTATGCTCGTTATTTTGATTATTTGTTTTCGCCGCGCGCAAATTTGACGAGCAATAAACATGGAAAAAAGGGGAAAGCGAGGGAAGAAAGAGAAAGGGAGAGATAATTAAAATGGAAAAAAAATGGGATAAAACTGCTTCAAAACGATAAAAAAATCACAATTATTGCTCGAAAAAAGTTGAATGCCCCAGGTTCCTTGCAACAGTTATCGTCGAATATACCGATTCCCCTCAAAACGGAGAAGTATCAAATCGAATAGTATAAATTGCGGCGATTAAACCGAATGAGTGTGATAATATGCACATTGTTCAGCCTTCGGGATGAAATAAATTAGCCTGTCTTGCAGCCAATTGTAAAACTATATCTTGGCGCAAGCCAACGAGTATGAATATGTCTTGGATTGGTTAACAATACCTAATCAGCACATTAAAATAGACAATTGCACATCGGATGACGAATGGCAATAGAGAATACTCCAGCAGTAGCAGCAACTAATCGTTTCACAGCACACTGCCCATTTATATTAGATGTATTTGCTTCAATAGGTTTGGACTAACTACACTGAACATAAATCCGAAACACAAGATGAAAGGCGATGTAGCCAGCAAGCAAACAGATTCATTTGAGATGAATCGGTTAGAGTCTGTGTATTTGTTTACTGTCGTACGATATCAAATCATAATTTACATATGGTACGATTTCGATATGCACGTGTTTTCAATACATTGAAGCAATCGTTGCCTGTGCCATACATTCGTCGTCGCCGTAACCGTTTTCATTGTAGCGCCATTCCGTTCATATAGTTTCATTCATTATAAAGCAGGCACGAGCACACGAAACGTAGAAAATATAACCGATACTGTATACGATTGTGTGAAAGTTGTGCGCGCTAGATCTTTGGATATTTACGTATGATTCACAGTCTGATTTTTTTTTCTCTTTTTGGAAAAAATGACACAGATAAGTGGGCATGCGAAACATGGTGAAAAAAACATGCGATATTTCCAGCATACCCCGGTGAACAATTGGCGGCATTTTTTTTAATTTCATTTTTCTGTTTGTTTTGTTTTTGTACATGCTCTTTCTCCCTCTGTTCACCGTTGAGTCAGGTGACGTGACGTCGCACCATCGGCATTTTTTGTTATGGTATTATTTTTAACACCTACATTTGTGGCGTGTATGTGTTTGTGTGTTTAATGCTTAACTCAAGCGTTAAGTTTCTCCGTCATATGCTTGTCTACTCTCGTTCTCTCTCACTCCTTCTCGGCCTAATCGACACACACACACACACACACACACTGGTGCTGGCCAACTGACAGTACATTCGATTGTGTTGGTCGATATTATTTGATTGTGAGCGATTGAAGTTGTTGCTTCACAATTGAAATCAACGCTTCAATCAAGTTCATAATTCAGCGTTTTATCGCTTCTTAACTTGATCAAAATTCAAGTTTTCGTTCATTTGATTCAGTCATTTTAAATGTCAAATGTTATAGTTTTCAAAAGAAATTATCTTGATTCGGTTGAAGTGTTGTTGTGACAAAAGTCAAGTTCAATAGTTTCCCGTTCGATAAAAGGCACATTGGAAAGCGGCGTGTGCTCCTTTGTTTTTTTGCATAAATTTTGAATGTGAATAGGGGTCATTCGTTGACGCTGGTCGTCGCGTGTGCTAATAATTGGCAGCATCATTTTGGCATACGATCAAATCGATGTAAGAGAAATTCGTTCGATACGTTTTCGCTGCTTAGAGCTGAACTTCATTTGCAAGACAAGAACGAAACACATTGTTTACATCGATTTTGAGCGCAAACGGTTTTTCGCAATCATAACAAGCGCACAAAATTGTGTTGTGGCGGAAGTCATTTCGTCAAGAGCTCATATTTTGTGATCTATTGATCAGCCGCCTGCCAACAACGGAGTGTCTGTGCGTGTATGTGTTTCGGCATTTATCTTATATTTATCAATGTGTCGTCTGCATAGATAATTTGTGATAAGTCGACGGCGAGTCGAAACCGTCATTTCGATTTGAATGACAAAAATAGTGAACGAGACACACGAAAAATCAATGCAATCGACGACAGTAACAATTCTTCAGCTTCCTGTAACCGTATTGAAATTTTGTGTGACTTTCAGTTCCTGAGTTTTATCTATGAGTACATTTGCAGTGCATACCAACGACTATAACTGGATTATAAAAATAATTTAATTGAATTAGAAAGAACGGCTTTAAAATCAACTAGTTTATGCGGAAAAAAATTCAATAAATATCATTCGATAGAAAAGAGACGAATCTCGTATTCGATTGAACTACGCTTTAAGTTGAAAATAAACAAATCATTGCAAATATTTTTGCATCCAAAGAGACAACATTAAGTACAACAGCTTCATAGCTACTGCCTGTGAAATAGAGAAGAAAGAAACAAAACCAATCAAAATGATATCTGTTAAAACTGTGATAGTAATTGCAGCCTTTATTTATACCTCTCGTAAATATTACCAGTACTATAAATATGATAAACGATCTAGGATATCAACCCGATATTGGTATAGTGAGTATCAGTTGGTTTTTTTTCAATTCATAATTGTGAATAAGTTTTGATGGAATTTGTTTCCATCGAAGTGCAAAGAATATTCGGAAAGAAAAATGTGTGGAATGTTCCAATATTACCTGGTCTCATCTTGATGTTTCTCCAAACAATGCGCTATTCCAAACATTCGAATAGAAACTCTTCAAACATGAATCCAAACTCAGACGCAAATTTAAGCTCAAGCACAAACTCTAATGCGAGATAGTGTTTCAAGCATTGTTGAATCAACTCGAACGCAAGATCGCATTTGTGCTGTCATCTTTAAGCTCTATTAGTCATGCAATTCGACGCCAGGAAAACATTTTAATTTAAAATGGTCACATCTAATATGTGATGACAAGATATACGTTGTGAAGAGGCAACTAGACGATTTGAAGATCGACACGGATTAAAAACAGCAGCTCAAAAACAAAATATGTTTTGATCGCATAACTTCTGGTTGTGTGTTTTGATGCATTAAGCATGTGTGTGTGTGTGACATGTGCACTGTGTTCAACTTGTGCTTTTGAGCGGCGCGAGATAGCGGTAGCGCCTAATTAGACAGCGTGGTTGATTGTCAGAACTACATGACATTCTGTCAACGTTCCTCAATTCAGCTTCTTTAGGTACTCTGTGTAAATGTGTTTTTTATTTTAATAAACATCCAAACAATTTTTTTCAATAATGATCATTATGGTTCGAACCAAAACGATATATTCAATGTTGCTTAACATACTTCACTTGCGTTTTGGGGAAAATGTGTGAAAATTTTAAAACTTACTTGAAGAATGAAATATTTTCGAAAAAAGTACCAATTTAATTTTGCAATATCGTTTTGTGGGCATTTTCATAAAAATATAATTTATTCAATAACGAAAGAGAATATAAATGTGTAACAAGCACGCTGTGTGTGACACTCATAACTTACGTACTATTGCGAAATAGTTTGAACTACTAAATGTCAAATATTTGAATTCGCGCCGCTGAATAGTTGCTAAATATACCGCAGATCCTATTTAGTCGCTACCGCTATTCACTGTCACGTCAAATACATTGGTTCTTATGGGAGAGAAGCACAGGTTGACTGTGTATAGTTTTCCTAACATATTTCGATTTTTTTCAGAAAAAAGTGTTTTTATCAAAATTCAATTTTGAAATTTTGAGATTTTGGAATTGAATTATGTTCAGTTTTTCATGAAGAATTTTATGGTGGTTTCAGTTTTCATTTATGATGAGTCGTTTTGAAAAATTTGCCAGGTTAATAACGAAAATATGTTATTAATATGTTAATAAGATCGGTATCTTATTAACTAGCATTTTTGGGATAATTTTTCAAAATGCTCAATCGAAGCTTCAAACTGAAACCACCACAAATTTCTTCGTGAGAAACTAAACAAAATCCGAATTTAAAACCCCAAAATTTCAAAATCGAATTTTGTTGTAAAACACTTTTTCTGAAAAAAATCGAAATATGTTAGGAAAACTATAGCACTGTGAGCTCAAATTTGAAAACAGTGCATCATTTGAAGTAAAACAACGGCAACCGCACATACGACGTCATTCGATGGAATTTCCTTGAAGAAAAAAAAACAAAACAAATGAATGAGTCATATTAATGAAACTCCTCATTCATATTATGATAATTACGTACGTAAAGTGGATGAAACATATGGTATTTATCAAAAGAAATTGCCCAGCAAGAATTGTGAATGGGAACAGCACACTTTGTTCCTGTTCAAAAATTATATAACGAACCGAAACATTTGCCTGCATTCCAGCTGAATTTACAAAAACGAACCCCAAAACAAATTACATAATAATCTCACACCATATGTTCTTAAGCTCCCATTTAAACGAGGTGCTCATTACACTACACACAGAAAAGAATCCCCGGAAATTTTGGGTGTTCGCCGTAAAATTTGACATTTATATATAAATTTCTACATACATTTTACCGGCAACACTTCAATTTTCCGGGCGATGACATATTTTCGAACATTTTATCAAATACTATGTATATTTTACCGCTTGAAATGACAGATGGCGCTAATTTCTGTTGGAATATTTGAAATTATGTCATCGCCCGGAAAATTCAAGTGTTGCCGGTAAAATGTATATAGAAATTTATATATAAATGTCAAATTTTACGGCGAACACCTAAAATTTCCGGGGATTCTTTTCTGTGTGTAGCCACCGCGATTTGTTTACAACGACACACTGTACACTTGAACCAATGTTGAATGAGTGTTTTGTTATTTTACGGCACTTGTGCGTTTTCATCAATTAGCATTTAACAGCTTTTTCGGCTATTTTTAGCTAAAATTCACATTCAAATGTTTCTTCTTCTGAACAGGGCTTTCAAATTATGTTGTTTTTTTTTTGTTTTTGTTATTTTTCAAGTGGAAATCTCAAGCAATTCAAGAGCATTTAATGTGATTATTGGACTTGAACGCAAAAATGCTTTGTGCGTTCGATGTGACTGCATCCAGTGCAGTGAAGTTGCGCACCTTTTTGTTATTTCTAGAGAATACCAGTGAATACGATCATGAATCATGAGACAATAGCGATGGTCGCTAGAGAGGAAAAAACTAGAACAATACAACACTTTGAAAGTGGTTAGACTTTGAAATCGATACCAAAATGGAAGACAAGAGTATTTAAAAAAAGAGAACACAAACGAAACGTGATAATTGAAAAAAAAATTGTAGAGAAAAATAGGCAACAACAGAAGTATCCAACAAACAAATACCACAATCTCATTCGATGCGCTTTAGGTTTTTTTTTGTCGATGAATTAGAGTAGTCGTTGCGATGAATGAGCCTACATCAATTCGATTCACTATTTTTGCATCTCTTGAACAAATAAAAAAAGGAATAAATTGAAAAAACATCATTAGATTTTAGATTGAAACTGATTATTCCGAATTTGCGATCGGAAAACTAACGAAAAAAAGAACATTTGTATAATGAATTCACTTCTATTGCATGCATCGAGTGCCGCCGTTATCCGTAAAATTGATTGATTTAACCGAGTTTATTTACTGGCGAATTTGTTATATATCAAAAATTGATAATTTGTGAACTTAGTTTAAGAATCCAAATGTGATTGGATAATTTGATTGATTGCATTTTATTTTCTTTCGTTACAGTTACTTTGTGGTTACTTCTAATTGAATTCGGTGTATTTCCGCATGTGAAGCGTGGATTTTACTGTGATGATAAAACGATCCGCATGCACTATAATGGTGAAACGGTTTCAACCACCGCATTACTGCTAACCATCATTCTCATTTATCCCATTTTATGGGTATGTGAGGCCTGCTACTTTGTGCCGGTGTCACTAAAATCATCACGCTTCATCGAATCGGCGCGACAGGCATGGAGATGGTTCAAGGAGTTCTTGTTCGGAATTACATTACATTTATTTGTTATCGACGGTGTCAAGGTATGCACCTAGTTTTTCTTGTGGATTAGTCTCTTAACACATGCATATTTCACACTTCATTTAACTTAATTTTTCGATCGATTAGGTTCTATTCGGTGAATTGCGACCACATTTCTTGGAAACTTGCCAACCGGACGCATTGCAAACCTGCACTGGAGAGTAAGTATTCAGGAATTTGGCTCATATGAACTTTTTTCTAAATTTACATCTTATTCAATTGTAGAAGTTACGTCATTGATTACAAATGCACCAACGACATTGACAGCTCCTGGTTCGTTCGTGATGCATCGAAATCATTCCCATCGGGCCATTCGTCAACATCATTCTATGAAGCTGTCTTCTTGATTTGGTAGGCATAATTTTTTATTCTTCTTCAATCTTCTTTCTAGTTGAGTCAAAAAATTCTTTGCATTTCAAAAGTATCCAAAGATAGATTATTCGATCAATTCTCATTAATCATTATGCTATGAGTACTTTACGAATTTATCCTAATTCGTTGACTGAATTCATTCTTTATTCGCTGCTTCCAGGTACCTCCAAATGCGTACACCAAAACTTCGAAGCAAATTGTTGTTGCCAACGCTTCAATGCATTTTCTTGTTGTATGCATGCCTTTGTTCAATCTCCCGAATCACCGATAATCGACATCATTGGTGGGACGTTTTGGCCGGAGCCAAAATTGGCATCATCTTCGCTTCGCTAGTGGTAAATACAAAAAATAAAATATCAAGTCATTCTGCACCGAATTTGAACTAATAAACGAAACCTCTTCGACTTTCAGTGTGTTTTCCTGTGCAAAAACTTCCAAACGAAGAAAGTACCAAGTGTTGAGCCAATGCTACAAAATGGTAACACAATTGATCATCGACACACCAGTGTGCGTCGTCTTCTATCCGAACGAACCAAAGATGAATTAAATTTAAATCATGTGGTCGTTCCATAGAGCAACAAGTCAATCGATCATATTCATATGCGGTATTTTTAGTTCGATTGCCACGATTTAGCACATAAACTAATTTTTTTTTCATCGAAGCCTAGCAAATTGAAGAGCGCAAATTCATTTTCAGTCAGACGTCAAGTGAGAACAATACAATTAATATGAAAAAAAAACATTCAATTTATTTAACGAATTGAAAATGAGAAAAAGAAGGAAAAAAAAGAGAATTACACACAGATTTGACTAATAATGAGATTTTACCTAAGCCACAGTATGAACGTAGTCATAAGGTTTTAGAGAGTGATGAACATTTTTGATATGCTTTATTCAGTTGTATGTTTTTTTTTTTGGTCAACAGAGAAAGAAACAATAACCATACAAAATGTATTACAGCGAACCAATATCGAGGCATGTTTCAACTGTTTTTTCTAAATATTTATTTAACAATTAAAAAAATAAGAACACCTACAGTAAATAAAATCATTGGAAAGAACGCTTTTTTTTACTTCATTTTTTTCTATTGTTTCAACAATTGTAACCAATTTTTTTGTTTCGGACGTTTCATTACTTTGCTTTTCATTTTGAATTCGATGAACGACTAAAATCAAGCAATATCGATTACTCCACAGTTTAAATTCACTACAGCACATCGACACACATGTTTCAGACGAACAAGAAAATCCATTAGAATATTTGAAACCAGTGAACATAAAAATAACACAATAAATTCAATTAGAAACGATATAGTTAATGCTGTTTTAGCAAATTGTAATTGTAGACGAGCATATTAGGTATACATCTAGTTAAGCTAACCATTAAACACAACATTTTGATATTTTAATCGCAACACAGAAAAAAAAACAGAAATTATTTGGTTTGCCATAATCATACACAAACCACACAGTTTGTTTCTTCTTTTTTTGTTTGCTTAATTATGATCAATAATAGAAATTATTTTATTTATGTGATAACATTAACGATTATTTATAATAAAAAAAAATTACATTAATATACATGTCTAGAGTCATTTGGCTTGTTGTTTTTCTTTCTTGTCTTTTTGTTGCGAACATTCAGGCGTTTTCCTCTCGTACACGCCGAGAGGACGGTTTTGGACGAGCCACAGGACATAAAACAACGTACGTTCAAAATGAAATATAACATTTATTTATGTTTTCTTCTTGTTTAAATATGCGACATACACAAAGAGATTATACTCAAACACACACATTAAAAATGATTCACTGGATGATGATACAAACGACTGATGTTGTTTGACCAACAGATGTTTTTTTTCTGTTTTGAAATGATACGATTTCCATTCGAAATTCGCAACTACTGAAGTTTGCTTATAAGAATTGTTGATCGATGGCGATGTTCAGAGATTTTTCTGTTTTTCGAAACACGTTCAATTGTCTTCGGGAGCCATTTTAGCATCCTGCTTGGAAAAAAAAAAAATAGGGGAAAAAAATCAAAAACCATGACAATTACGTTCATTTGAATTAAAATCGGATTTTTTTTCGAACGAGCTGCACCAGTGATCTGAATAGTATCAGGACTGAATAACTCTTCTACTCACAGAGTAAAAATATTACCCTTTAAATTTTTTTCAGTAAATGCTCAGGCTCACCTTGAATCGCCGTTGACCATATTTACTGTAGAATTCGACGGTGCATTTCGATTGTTTTCCAGTTTTTTCATTAAATATCGAACATGAATTGTATGGTGGACAGTACAAATGCAATGAAACAGCACCATTCGTATGGCTGGGATTTTCAACACGATGTAATCCAAGTGTGTCTATGGTTATCATAGAAATTGGAGAGAAAAATGAAATTTAGATCAAAATTTGCAGAATTCTACACTTCACTCTCAATCTTTTTTAAAATTGTTTTTTTTTCTTCTTTGATCCTTAAGTTATAAAAACATAGAGAGATGGGTAAGTAATAGATTTTAACCATACGTTAGAATTGAATCTCTTTTGCACTCACCATTTATATAGTGGACACTGTTGGTTTCCATAATTGCACGAGACAACTCTTGTAGTTTGCTGCTATTGTATTCATTGTTGCCTTCTTCGTCCTTTTGGTTTGTAATGTCGGCCGAACCATTGTGTTCGATGCAATTGCTGTTGTTCTTCGGCCATGCATAGCGAATTTCACGCAGTTCACCTTTTAACATTTTCATGAAACAGTGCGAGTCAGCGTGATCATGGATAGCCGATCCATGTCCTTCGCCCCAGCATAAAATCATCAAATTAAACTTTCCATTGCCGGCATCTACTAGATTTCGAGTGTATCTACGATTAAACAATGCGAGAAAAATGAATAAGAATGAGGAATTTGGAACAGGTTGTTGACTGTTGAGTGATTGAGAAGATTTGATTGAATGAATTTGTTCCTTTTTGGCCATTTATCATATTGGATCGGTTTGTGTGCATGAACAAAAAGAAGATCAACGTGTATAAAATAATTGTTTGAGACATAGAATTGGTTTTAAAGCTTAGTTTTCAACTCAACAAGAAACACAACGTTATCATTAACCATAAAATGAAAAAGGAATCGTTAAATTAGAAAATGACCTATTTTTTGGCATATGAGTCTGGTATCAAAGTAGTTCGATCATTAATCGACGATTTTGGAGTCATTTTTGTGGCGTCTCCACTCGCATTTAATTTGTATTGTAGAAGCTTGCTTGTCAAAGTTCAAACATCATTGCAAACATATGGAAGTGGAGGAAATGACGCCAAGCTGCACGAGGTTATTTAATTCGTCTGATAGAACAGCGTTTCACAGTTTTTACTGAGTTATTTTCTATCAACGGTCGTTTGACTTGATTAAATGGTCGCACGTGCGATTAAATCTATTTTTATTGCAATATTTGCCATTTGATTCATTGGATTTTGTTTTGTTTTGGGATTCGGGTTGAATGAACAATTCGATTAAAACAATGATAACGCCGAATATTATTAATGATATTAGAATAAAAAAAGATTCACAAACAAAGCTTCGAACAAAAAAAAAGGTGCAGCAGTTCAAGAAGGGGGCGCATCGACTATGACACAAGACATGATTGTATAAGGAAGGTTGAGATTGAGAAGATTGAACAAACGGTTCGTTTTGCGTACGATTTTTTTTTGTTGGATGTGAATAACACAATTCGTCATGTGCTATCTTTTTTCACGCAAATAGTGTGTGTTTTTTGTGGCGCATGTGGATTGTTCACAAGGTTTGAGTTAAAACAAGTATAATATACGCATCAATATTAGTTGATTAGCCGAAATTTGATAGGAACAATATGAATTTGATAAGCTAAAAATGATGTAAAAGGTAAAATTGAGCGAGCTGTATGAACATCGATGCATTAAAATTGAAATATATATCCGTTTTGTGTAATCATTTTTATTTATATATACTGGACTATCAATTCAAATCGCAATCGTTGCAAATAAAGTATTTGGAAACTGTAGCGAAAAAACAAACGTACATTTCTGGTGCAATGAGGTAAACGTTTAACCTCCGCATGATCGAATGATGTATAAATTGATCATGACCTGTGTGGTCAACGTGTGTGTAAACAAGTATGGAAAACATGATTAAATGAAATAAATAATAAAATTCGGGGCGGGTTCATATCTATGTTATTCGGTCGATGATTCGTTGTTGTTTCTAAGCGTAGAGCATTTATCAAAAATAGGCGATGAAGTAATGGGAATATATATATATATATACATAATCGCTTCCCCTTATATGAGCACATCCAATCATATACTCTCTCTCTCTCTCTCTCTCTCTCACACACACACACACATACACATACTGACCGGGCTAGAAATGTAGCAATTATTTGTGTAAACGGCCAGAAATAAATTAGAAGGCATTTTATTTATTTTAGATTTCTAAATAGCTATTCCTTATCAGGATGTATCTGAAGAGTGAGTGATAACCTCTAGGTTGCGTTAATTCCACCAAAGTTTTTATATTCGTATCACGGATGACCAGCATGTAACTGTTGCTGAACAAATCTATTTTATAATATTGAATCAAAAAGAAATGTTGAACTTAAGATAGAGAAGGAGAGTGTGTGAAGCATAAGTATTGCAGAATGTGCAACACACTCCATCTCAATCGCTGTCAACAATATCGGCATGGAAACAAAGCCATGAGAAGTAAAAATGAAATGTGCTCCAATTGCAATGTGATCATCATACGACCAACATTCGATTGCGATTTCCACTGGCAGCAATTGGTGTTATTTTGCTTCGCAATTAATGGTTTTTCCCATTTCGATACTGAATTCATTGGCTTATGAAACGAAAAAAAATGGTCAATTGAAAACTCAAAATCGAATTCGTTTGTTTTTTCTAAAATTCAAAACGTCAAAAATTCCACTCGTCAAAATTTTGGGCTTTCGTTTTTTGTTCGTTTTTGGAACGTGACGTGACTATCATTGAACGAACCATTTTCCCATTGAACACGGCGACCTAAATCCAAAAAAAAAAAATTCGAATCACGTGCCAATGTGCCACAATGTCGGCAATTTGCGTACGTCAGAGCATTTTTCAAAAAACCGATTTCATTTTTTTTCGAATTCGGATGACGCCGTACGCACTGTCGTGATTTCTATCGTGATCTAGACAAACGTTTGATCAAAACCACGACCGGTTTTTTTTTCATCGAAATCGAGTTTAACCGCCATTTCGTTTTTCGTCAAACTTTCAAAAACTTGAGAATTTTTTTTCTTCTTTTCATTTTTTTTTCTCGAAAAAATGACTATGAAGAAGAAATCAAAGACCATAAAAAGAAAGTTGCATTTTTCGAAAATTCCAACCCACTTTGGCCAGAGAAGCGGAAAAAAAACCAAACCAAACACTGAATTTGCATTGAATGAACGACAAATTGATTTCTCAAAATGTAAACATTGTGTTAATCAAATAAACCAAACAAAAAAGTGGCGTTCATAATCAGAGAGAGAGAGAGAGAGAGAGAGAGAGAGAGAGAGATTTTTTCAAATTCCAACATGAGCAATAGACGAAACGTGACTTAGATTTTTTCAAAAAAAATTTTTACGGATATAAACAAACGTGATGCGTAAAGCAAAAAAATGGTGATAATCCGATGATTTTTTGAAAAATCGCTTCAATTCATTTAACAGCTTGTTAATTAATTGAGCGAGCGATATGAGCAAATTAATGCGATGTGTGATGTGAACGGCATATAAAAAATCGTATTTTGTTGCAAAATGAATGGATTTTTTTTGCGTGTGCATAGCGTTTTTCAACTGATAACTATTTTTTCGCTCGCAGCCGCCACACAGTTCCCAGCCGCTCCGTTCATTTGATCACATAGCCGACAAACCGAAACTCGTTAGTTTATTCAATTGATTCAAACACCAGCCGTTATCATTACTCATTCAGTTTTACAGTGAACTTTAACACTGTTTTTGTGCAATAATTTTCGACGGTTGTTTTACGAACAAATATTTACATCAATTATCGTATGAGAGAATTAAGATTCACTTTTTCGGCGTACGATTCGTCTTTTTCCTTTTATTTTAGAAAAAAAGAAAATATAATTATGTTTCACGTCATTAAATCGCATTTATCATATTTGTTTTTGTTTGTGTATTCGCCTGCAATACGCGTTATTTTGAAGGATTTCTATGCGACGTATAAAATTGTGTTTGCCCTTTTTTGTCGCGAAAAGAAACCCGTGCCCAAAAGCGTCATAGGTGTTTTTCTCGCGTTAACAACAGCCAGATCGGTCATACAATCATACTATATTTAGTACATAATAAGTGGCCAATTTTTGTGAGCGAAACTGAATTTAGATCATTTCATTGGGTTTGATTTGGTTTGGAGATAATAGAATGTTCATTGTACTCACTTGAATCGGTCGAATTTGGCGAATTTCTTCCATTCGGCTGGATTTGATTGGTAGCTGAGCATCAAATGGTTTACGTATTCGATATTTACACGATCGGATCGGAAGACTTCATGCAGCTCGGCGATCAGTTCGTCCAATGTAGCTGGCGATGTGGCATTTTTCAGTGGCTTCTCCAAACCAGTGAACGATTTTGTTAATTCACGCAGATATTGTTCTCGGTTGGTGCTGTTTTCAGTGATTTCTTGCATCATTTTCTTCTTATTATTATTTAATTATCCCAACTGTAACGGATGAGGTGCAGCACTGAACTCGAAACAAAAGTGTCAACTTCTTTGGAAAATGTACGTCAGTTGCAAGAAATTTCGATTTTATTTGTAGAGAGGTATGCGTAGAGACAGAAAGAGATGGCAGAGAAAAATGAACGCTTTTGCGATTGGAACAATTTCTAATGGCTACTCTTCAGCGGCACAATTGCTATGTGTTCGAAATGTAGAAATTCGATTGGTCGAAATGAAAATTAAAATATCAATCGATAGAAATAAAATAACGAACAAACGAACGAAAAAAAAACCCGAAACAGATTGAGTGTGTGTCGCCCTCGGGACTGGCAAAAAGAAAGATGTGAAAAGGCGGTAATTTGTGGTTACGATTCAAGATCAAAACATCTACTGACTTATTCAAAGTGAGGCACGGGCACTTTTTGCATCAATCATAAACAACGACAGCAGCGGCCACAGCAGCAGCAGCAACAGAAGGAAAAAAAAAAGAAGCAAATCGGTTCGGAAGCAAACAGTAGTCGATCGAAGAAAAATAATAACAAGCAACAATTAAAAAATGTACATGGTGTAAGTAGCTAAACAAATGTTCGTATGTACAAACGCAAAGAAAATCCATGCGATTTTGTTGTTGCTGCTGCTGCCGTTGTCTTCTTCTTATTTTGGAATCAAACAGAAAAACAGAAAAACAGAGAGACATGCGACAGCGGCTCAAGAGATAAAATGCGCGCATGTGTTGTGATGATTTACTGTACTGGGCAACCATTGAGATGATTTGCGCGCGCACACGCGTCCGGCGAAACGGTAAGATGTGTAAAGCTACTACTGGCCTGGGCTGTGCTCATGTGTGCAAACGACACATAGAAAACGAAACCAATAGCACTGCGCATGGAATTGAATCGATTTTGAAAAGAAAACTGAAGCAATCGGCCAGCGGTCGACATGAGTTATATATCAACAACGTATAAACGTGCGTTATCACAATCATCACACATTTCATGCGATCGCGAAAGCAAAGTGGCTTAGGCTACCAATATCTGTTGCTATTGAGCGAGCCAACCAGCTCCAGACTCGTGCCAAACGATCGAACGTGCGAACGAGCGCATGCCACACACTTTGCTACGGCTCATCCATTCTGATATCGGTATCAAATCGGTGTAAACTCATCGACAAATGACAATATTTTTTCTGTTGCTGCTGTTGTTTGTTATTCGTTCGTTCAACTACTTCCGTTTCGATGTGTTTATGCGATAACATTGGTCATTCGCGTTTGTTTGCACGTTTTCGCCACAAGTTTGGTTTATTTTCTGTTTTGAAATCTCGTGATGATCACTGCGTCAAGATTGTCAATTTGTCTGTATCACATAAAGATAGCGTACACTTTGTTCAATTGCGCCCCATAGAATGTCAAGTGGAAACGCACTAATATCGTACTAAAGTCCAATTTCGATTTCATTTACTATTTGATTTCAAGAGTGGCGGTCATAAAGAAGCATGCTGTTCGTCCGCGGCGTTATGACCGCCACCCGATTTCAAGAACTTCACGAAACAGTAACGGTAAATAGGTGAGAAAACAAGTCGTTGGCTGAAAAAAATTTCAAGTTTTATTTGAATCTTAATCTAAAGGTTTTTTTCTCAATTCTGACCAATTTACCATTAAATGGAATCCTGACTAATCCAATTGGAATTGAATGAATTTGTGACTGTAATCGACACCTCCCTCTGGAATACATCGAACGCATAGTTGAACCATTGTTAATTGAGAAACTGATCGATTCAACGTTCAAAAACAAAGCGCGTAAATTGCATCTTTCACGACCGTTGTACGTGAACATAAGCTTGTACACCAGCCGTTGTAGCGATCATAATCGACACTATATTTGTTATGTAAATGGATTTTATGTCGATTTCCGTCGCTTTCTTTATTGTAACAATTTGACAATGTGTCGAATTCACACCCGGCAAAGTCACGCTCATAATCGGAAGAAGAAGACGCATAGGAGAACCAACAAATCGCCGAAAACGGCGTCTCCTTAGCATTTAAATTAACACAAGTATTTACAATTTCACATCTTTATTATTCGAATTGGTCGTTGAATCTCTCTTTCTCACACACACAAACACAATGAAATGTTGGTTCATTTTTTTATTCATTCAAATTCTTTATTGCATATGAAAATAAAAGTGTCAATTATCAATTGATTCGTGGACAAACAAATTCAAACACTAGTTGAAAAGAACGAATGATGCCAATCAGCTCGGATAAAATCAATGTGAAAGTTTCAATTTTTCGAGGAAGAAAACAAGAAGGATGAGAAAAAGAGGTTTTTTTCTTCTAGAACATCATTCAAAATTTTGGAAATTTTCATCGCCAAAAACATAGCGTTTAGCAGCTTAGTCACTTGTTGAAGCGAAGGCACCGTTTTTGTGTTTCAAATTTCATCGGTTCAGTTAGGTGCAATGAACTGAACATATTTGCACCCAAAACACAAGTTTGCAATAAATATTTTTTATTTAAAAAGTGAAAACTATAGTAAAAACGTTTAATTCACCTTTGTTATTGCACTGAAGTTTTGATTAGAAATTATTATGAATATACGTTTGAAGATGTGTATGAAATGAGTTTGAAAGAACGTTCCATGAATTCAACACAATCGAAATTTCTCACTAAACTCTCAATGTGACGAACAAGAGTTCTTGATACTTACAACTCACTAAATTCAAACACAATGCAAACAAACACGAAAAAAAAAACTGTGTGAAGTTCGGTATGGTATTCGTTAATCGGGTGTGTCTGTTGCGTGAAGAATATGTGACCAACTTGAATTCGGTAGCATTATTTTATATATATCTAAATGGAAATTGGAATTCGTTCCATTTTTGAATGCCATTGTGTCTCCCACTTTCATTTTTCAGGTAGCCAAATAATTTTTGGTGGTGCCAAATATTTTGATTTTTGTCTCATATATGACAAAGAAATACATTGGTAATCGATTTGTTTGTAACTGTTTTTCCTACAAATGGCAACAGGTGAGCCAAAGCCCATTACGTTACGCCAATTTCATTCAACGCATTGGAACATTGGTAAACGGCAAGTTTGAGTTAGTTTTTAAGAGTCCCGTGCCCATACATTCCAATACATGCGCATGAGACCCTTTTATGCTTAATGAACTTCACAGTTCGCGAATATTGTAATGCGTTCATTTCCAGCTCTTCGTTTTCAGTCCAATTGTTCATAATTCCATTTCATTCAAATTCGTTGTATGCTACTCACTTTTTTGAACTTCTTATTTTTGCTAATTTATTCCAAAAGTCAAAATAAAGTCGCGCTCAAAATACGCTTGAAACGAGTGCTTCAATTTGGTTTTAGCACAATTTCTGAATAGACATAAATGATATACAACACTGTTGAGTCTTGTTATGCTACTGATCTTTATTGACAATGATTCGTACTTATATACTCATGTCTGCGGAAGCAAACTGTAACTTAAAAAATGCAACAATGCGGAAAGAAGAGCTTACAACAATTGTTTATTTATAATATTTTCGGCTAAAACAATATAGTTTACGGAAATATCTGGCTTGTACACTATTGTTTACGGAAGCTCTTACAATTCAAATATGTATTCATACATTCTCCCGCGGCATTGCTTGTCAGATCGATGATGATGTCTCTAGATGTATCTGGTGGTGGTGTTGGGCTTGGTGTTGAGGTTGAATATTGTGTGAACGGTGTATCCAATCTGGGCGGCGATGGTGGTGTAGATGTATCTCGAGAAGGGTCCTGTATAAAATACGGGACCGAAGTTGCTTCTAGCATAGATGATTGGTGTGTGTTGATGGCGGCGTGTTGACGGCGGCGTGTTGACGGCGGTTTTGTGTTGGTTGCGGCGTTCACACAATATTCAACCTCAACACCAACCTAATGAAGAAAACGAATGAATTTCTTATTTGCCAATTTAGAATTTGAACTCGGTTGTTCTATTCAGTTTCTGTTAAGCCAAAGGAGAAATATTGCTATTATTTTCATCGAAAATAACTGAATCGGTTTTCTGGCAACGATTTTGTTCATTTTTATTCATTAACATCTTGAACTAGTCTATTTAGTCATTACAATATTTGTTTGCTGCAATCTTCAGCAATAAATTGGAATCTATAGCAAAATTAATTTGGTAAATTTGGTGGTCCCTTTGCAAGAACAGTCTTAATTGTTTTGAAGAGTTTGGGCAACAGTTCGATATTTTTGTCCACACACGATACGGCACATCGTTCGAATTTGTTTGTGTATTTGGAGATTTCATCTTCGGTTGGATTTGGTGGCATTTCTAATTTGATGTCATCGTTGCATTGCTGTTTCAAATCGAAAACAAAAAATTATTATTGGAATGAAGAAGAGAATTTTAGGGATTGAAAGCATCGAATTTGCCAGAATCAAAGAATTGGACAAGAAAAAAAGGTGAAAAACCGCAAAATGTACCATGACACAGCGTTGCAAACGTCCTTGATACTCGCCAAGCTCCTTCTGTACGTATTGCTGTGCACGATTGACTGGTGCCGAACACCGTTCTATGCATCCCTGCACCGCGTCAATGCTACCGTTTTTATCGTCACAACATTTGGCCGCACACAAATGCATTTCACCCTGTTTACAAGAATCAGACGAAGAGGAGAGAAGAGCACCCAGATTACAAATCAAATCATCCTTGACCAAGGTCATTGTCATTCAAATTGGGGAATGCCTGTGATCCCGTGATGGAATTTCAACACCATACCTGCATCTTTCGTAATGTGGAGCGATCCAAGTCATCGACCATCCGGGTCATTTCTTGTTCGACACGTTGCCGTTGTTGATCAATTGTAAGACTCATATTTAACACTATTTATTTACGACTCAATTTATTTATTCAACGTTTAATTCTAATTTACCGGTTCCAGAGTGCCTCATACACTGGAATTTTTTTTCGTCTAATCTCTGACTTGTGATTGACTTTTGGTCGAAAAATACCATGCTTGAATTTTGTTTTTGACAGTTCTCGTCCATATCAGACGATGGTGAACCGTTTCCATATGATAGCAGACGGATTCAAATTGTTCGAATTGTAAAATCATTTTCTTTGAAGAAATGTTGGCCAAAAAATTAATTAAGATGTGCTAAAATTTGAATCGACAAAAAAAATCACCAATTCATAAGCGAAAATTGTGTTTAAAATTGCAGCGAATGAGCGTCGATACCGATAACAGTGTGTAACACTCAGTAACACTCAATTGTGAACCGGTCATAAGTCGGACCAGTTTTGTCGTTTTCATTGTTGTCAGCATTGACGATCCGACAGTTCGGTGTGGCTGCGTATGTGTGTGCGTGTGCGTGTGTGTTTGTTCGCATCGCTTCTATATTAATCCGGTTCAAAAAAAAATCGTATACACAGTATGCACTTTAGATATTTTAAATAGGATTTTCGTCGTTCTTCGTACACTCGTTTTTTTGTTGTACTCGATATTTCAATCTATACTTCACCTGTCAAAATGCTTGGTCGCCTTTTTGTCTTTCATATACTGTGCTAACCACTCTTTTTTTTGTGTATGTAAACCAAAAATCGAAGGATAAAGGAATTTAATCGATAACTAACCATGATTTATGTAAGTTTTTTGGAATTTTTTTTGTTGATCATATTCGATAGAAAATTGGTGGCAAAGAAAAAGTGCCGAATAAATAAACAAGTTGATTTGGATGGAATCCTGTGTGCGGTGAAAAGTTTTTTTTTTTTCATTCGTATTGCTATTGTTGATGCGGTGATCATCGTATTGCCCATTGAAATTCCAATGGAACGCCGTCTAAAAGGAATCAGTGAAAGTGTTGTTTGGTGTTTTATTTATTCTTTCGTTCTCTATCCGTCGCTGTTTCGTTCTCTGTTAACTTGTATGCCAAAAAATTGCTGTTGATCCCGTGTGAATTTTGCGAATATGGCGGTCATTAACAGTCGCATTTGTTTCGTGTTAATCAATTTGTATGCCATGATTCAGCAGACAAAATCTATGTCTATAGATATATGGATATGTGTACATATTACTCATTGCCAAAAATGCCTAACAGTAGACACACACGGTATCTCTAAATGCATCTAATTTCAATTCGCCGATTAAATCAAATTGAATCGTTTTTTTTTTATTCTTGCTTTTAAAAATATTTGAATTTTTTTTTTATTCAAACAAAAATGAAATTGATTTTAATTTTTTTGGTTTTTCGTTTGCAGATGAGCGCAGATGACATGCAGTTGGGACAAACGGAAGTTTGTACCGAAACAAAACCATCAGTTGGCCTGAACAATATTCGTCATAATCATACGCATTCCGCTACACACAATCATGGCCACAATCATTTGCATGGTGTCCTGATCGGTACGATGCAATCGTATGGTAACAATTTGATTGAATCATTCAAAACAGAACCTCTGTGCCAGATACAATGCATGGATTGCCAAAAGGTAACCAAATCGATAAAATTGATTCTTTTTTTTTTCTGTATCAACATTGAAATCGAAAGTGATTGCAAATGATTTATTGGTCGCTATTTTTTCTCATTCGGTTTGGTCAACAGTATTTCAACAATGAAGAGCAATTGACCGCTCATCGAATGGTTCATCATACGCAGACAAATAATACCGCGCCGGGCGGCCAGACCACTGTATCAAACGAAAAAGTCTACGAATGCGGCGTGTGCATGAAAACGTTTAGCAAGCACAGCAGTTGGTGGAAACATAAAAAGTGCCATACCGGCGAACGCGCCTACAAATGCTACATCTGCGAAAAATCCTTCACACAACAAGCCAATTTGCATCGGGTACATTTTTGCAGCATCATTGACTCATTGCAGCATCGTTTTGATTGTTTATCGTCTATTTACTCTTCCATTTTAGCATATGTTTGTTCATTCCGGAGAAAAGCCACATGCTTGTAAAATTTGTAATAAATGCTTTTCACAGGCGGCCAATCTTGTGAAACACCAAGTCATTCACACCAGTAAGTTTTGATCCTTCAGAAACAATAATCCCTTGAAAGAAAGGGAATTCTTCTGATAAATCTTCAGTTGCTTTGAGTTTATTTTTTTTTTAAGAAGAAAAGAATTTAATAAAATCATGTGATTTTTAGATGAAAAACCGTTCCAATGCAAACTATGTCCCAAGCAGTTCACGCAGCGCGCCAATCTTAAAAAACATGAAATGGTTCATACAGGTAAATACAAAGTACACACCAAATGAAAACCAAAATTTTCGCGCTTTTTTTTTGTTTTTGTTTTATGAGTCATTAATAATTATGACGTTGTTGAAATTAACCGTTTTTCTTACAATTTTCCGTTGCATTTCATGACATATTTCCACTAAGCAACACATAAATTACAATATTGGTTAGAAAAAAACTAATGAATTTTTTTTCTAAAACTTCCCAATTAGGTGAAAGGCCGTATTCATGCCCTATATGCAAAAAGGCTTACGCTCAATACGCCAATATGAAAAAACATATGCTAGTGCACGCAAAATCAAAGCAGTCGGTGTAAGTGAAATGAAAAGAAAACAAAATCGATCATTTTTTTTAAATATAAAATGCTACCATTAAAACGGAGTTTTCTCACGAATTCAATGCGAAAACAAAAACTTTTATATTTTCCATAAAAAAAAATTTTACATTTCACTCACATTCTTTGTTTGTGTTTTTTTCTCTCTCTACTTTTCGAATAAAAAACAAAATCGAACAAAAAAATCGTGAACAAACTATGATCTTCATTAAAATAATGGTTTGGATTTATAATTGTTTGTGCATGGATATCGAACGAAAATTATTTAAATGGAATTGTTTTGGGATTTTTGTTTTGGTGTGCGCAGTGCATACTTATGTGCAAAATGCAAGGTCTTATTCGATACGATAACAATATATGATGAGCATTTGGAAAACTGCAAAAATAATCCGGAAAATTACAATTTCGATGAAGTATTGGAAAAGCTTAGGTTTGTTCGCATGCAATTTTTCACATTCTTTGAATTCTAAACCAACCTTTGGCTCATGCAAATTGACTAAAACAAAAATTCGATGAACATGTTTACAGCCAACAATCATCTTTAGCCGATACAAAAGAAATTGTCGGTCGATCAACTGTGTCGTCGGCTGCAAATTCGCATCAACAAACTGCGTCAATTATTGTGGTGACGGCTGCAATGACATCGACATCGATGACACCTTCAATGCATGTCGCTGGTACAACACGTTCGACCGGTAAAACAAATACATGACACATTTTGCTTTCATCATACATTTGCATTTACAAAAAATTCCGATTTTTTTAACACAAAATGCTCAACATTCTTTTTTTCCATCTCCTTTATCCCGTCCAAAACCAAACGAAATTGTAGTTGTTGGAAATACGGTGGCCACAAATGTCATTTCGAACAATATGACACCAAATGTGACGGCAGCATCATTGGCGACCATATCAAACGTGACCGGTCTCGCAACCATTTCCATGCCAGCCAACAATTTTAAAATCATAAAATATCCGCGTAACCAGCAAACATTTTGAAAATACGCCAATCCATTCGCAACAACATTGACCAATGTACATTCAAGCACCGACATCGGTCGATGCAAAAAACAAAAGGCAAGAATGAAACGAAGCACGGCGCTCGAATGAAAAGAATCTAAGCGCCTCAACATGAGAGAGAGAGAGAGAGAGAGAGAGAGAAAAGATGAAAATTAAAGATTGCATTTGTGGTATACTTTATACGTTTAAGAAATCATCATAATCAATACATTCGTGTTAATTCCACAGACACAAACAAAGAGTTGAACCAACAACAACAGCGAATCTGATTCAGTGCTAGAACAAGAAATTCAAAACAAATCCATTTGGTCATGTTCGATTCGAACGAAATTTTGAGAGAGAAAAATTGCAAACCAACACCATTAAATTGATTCGAAGCATTTACGCAAATTGGAAGCTAGACAAATAATAATTGGTCAAGCATTGTAAATAAAATGCGATCGAATTTGTTGGCAAAAAGAAATCGTAACAAAAACATAAACAATAACTCAATTAAAATCCAAACCAAGTCAAGTTAAAAAAATGATGGCTTCGATTGTTTGTTCGGAGCAACAACAAAAAAACGATGAAACAAATTTATGTTGATATCGATGACAACAAAAAACAAAATAGCTACTGCATGTTATGTAGTGCTAAAAAAAAATGAGGGGTGATATACAAGGTGGTGTGAAATAGTCCGATTCTCGAATAGAGCATTTCAAAGCTAGAATCTATTCTTTACCTCGATGTCGAAGCAAATCTAGCACCGCAGCAGCCTGTCACAACACCATTCTACTGACAGTCTACTTCCAAATGGAGTTCACTTCGGTTTGCTCCATTCCAATTATTTTCTTGTGTTTCTTTTTTATGTAATCTTTCCCCCACCTTGTAAATAAGAAAGAAAATTTCTTTAAAACAATAAGCCATTTTATATGTTAGCATTGAAATGTGATTCTTTTCACGATTTCCACGATTGATACATCGTCGAAATAAACAATAATAATAATAATAATATTAGTAATCATGAGTAAACAAGAAAAAAAAAAACTGTACGTCGTTGCTTTTATATTTAGAATTATATGAGAGAAAAAAAAGAATTAAAAAAGAAATTAAATTCAATGTTATTAAATGGATGAAAAGATGGAGACGAAGAGAAAAACAACAACACATATAGACACGTAAGAGAAACAGTTTAGTAAAGATATTGAATTACCAGAAGCAACAAAATCAAGCTAATTCAGAAGCTAATTTTATCAGAGAAGAGGAAAAAGAAAATCAAATTCATTTATATATGAATAATCAATATTGAAAAACAACCACAACCAGATGAAAATGAAATAAAGGTGATTTATGAGACGAAATCAAGACAAACGTTGACTTTCATTTTGTGTTCACTTTTGTCACATGGCAATAAAATAATCACTTTATTTATTTGTTCTAATTCTAGGTGTTTGCAAAAAGGCAGTCGAAGGAACGGAAAAAAATCCATACAAATAAAATATTAAAATTTACACAATTTTGTTTTGTTTTATACATATACATCGATTAAACTAAACCGAAATAAAAGAAGTGGAGCAAAGAATTTGTTGTTCGTTTTTTTTTTTATCTTTACTTTAAATACTCTAACCACATTCATTGGTTTCGGTGTTGCTGCTGTCGTCGTTGGGCATGCTGGGCCAGCATTACATGATGATTGTAAAATTGTCGGAATAGCGTTTGCAGATCGTTGCGTAGAGTTTGTGGTATTTCCATTTGTGTGATTTCATTGTGATTTCGAACTTTTTGCACGCACGCCCACAACGATATGGTTTTCAAACTTTGCACCGGAAAATGGATGCGAACATGTTGAATGGGCCGTTTATCGGTGGACGCTTCCGGCCAAAATACCTCTTTGTGATCCACATGCATTAGCAAACCGGTATAGTAATCACGGAATATCCATGGATGCGTTTTGAATGTGTTCATTTGGAATTCATCGCCCGATCGAAGTGTTTTGTATCGAATTAATTTGGCTGCATAGTTTATCCATAGAATATCGACCGGACGCTTGGTTCGATTCGATATCAAGAGAATGGCTGGATCAATTGACTCCTTAGAACGGAGTGTGTCATCGTATATCGTCAGCATCATGTAATTTCTCTGGATATTCCTTTATCGACCTCGATTGAATTTCCACAGTCTTCTGACTTGCTTCTAAAGGAAAATTTGTTAAAAAAAAATTAGGCTACAGACAATATCAAAACAAATGAGCACACAACATCTTTTCACTGAGCAAGATTTACAACAAAACTCCAAATCGAGTGTTCACATTTACCTTCTTCACTCTTTTTCACTGACTCGAAATAAATATTTTGAAAAATATCTCCACACAACCGGAGCCAAAATGTAAAACTAATTTAAAACATTCGGTTTACGCCACATTAAGAAAACGTCTTTCCAAAATCACTGCTCTTTGTTTCTCTGTGTGTATAGTATTGAATGTTTGCAATGGTTTTTATTTTGGTTCGTTGAATGCGACGAAGAATTTGACATTGACAGTTCACCGCTGGAGCGCTGACAGTTGTGTGTACGCAGAGTCAGGCGTATGTGTCAAAGTAGCGATAACAATAAATGGCATTCTGTTTACGTGCTACCATTGAGGTGTATTTTGGAACAAGTTGTTCGTCATTGTAACCAAAATAACCAGCATAATGGCTGTGTGCATTGCAATCATTGGCAAAGACGTGAGTTTTCGATCATTTGTTTTTGATAATTCTGTTTTTATATAGACGAAATTGGACTGGGTTTGTTTGTGTTTCTATTACAGAATTCGCCACAGTACATAGCCACATCGGATTTGGATAAGGAGCTTGAGCTGCAGTATCGTGTTCATGCCGCATTGGATGTGGTCGAAGAGAAATGTGCCGTTGGACAAACACCCTCACAAGATTCAAGAGATTTATACATTGGCTTGCTGTACTCAACGGAATATCACAAAATGTAAGAATGCTTGACCATTTTCAACAAGCAGCCAGAATTGAAATGTCAACCAATGTTCAAACCTGGTTTTTTTTTCATTCAACTTCTTCTTTTCGTTTGTCTCTGTCAATTTTTTTCACATTCTCTCTCTTTCTCTCTCTCTCTTGGGATTTCAATTGCACTCGACTAGTTATGGATATGTGACAAATAGCAAAATCAAATTCATCATTGTGGTCGATTCGAGTAATACGGCTCTGCGAGAGAATGACGTTCGAACGGTACGAAACTACTTGAATAACATTGCATGTTGAGATTGATTGATCAATTTCAAAATGGAAATTAATATTTAAAAAAAAAAACAAATTCCCTTTCTTTCAATACAGATGTTCCGTAATTTACACTCTCTGTACACAGATGCCGTGTGCAATCCATTTTATGTGCCGGGCGAACCATTAGAATCAATGTAAGCCTTAGCTACTGCAAATCGATATTGAAATTTTACTCTATTTTTTTTTTAAATTTACTTTTTGTCAATTTTCACGTCACAAAAATTAATTTAAACAAAATTGGAAGAGAAAAAAACAAATTGAGCTTCGAAAGTTTCTTTTTTTTTGCTAAATGGGTTTTTCCTCTCATTTTCAGCAACTTTGACAAGCTAGTACGGCAAATAATGACTGGCACGGTTTAGAGAATTCCACGCGGATCAAAGTCATCAATCATTCAGCTGATTCATTGGAGAAAATAGTCTTTTGAAAACTACAATGCAGAAAGACTAAAATTAGAATTGATAAATAAAAGCCGCAAACCACTTTGATACAAAACAACCATCCGATCGAATCAATTATGCGTTAAAATGTGTACGCAGAAAAGACAAAAATTTCCATAACAAAAATCTATTGTAATCGTTATTGTAATTTATAACAAAAAATAAACCAAAATAAATATGCAAACTAAGCAAATGAAAACACCGTTCGAACGAATATTTTGTGCAATTTCATTGAATTTCTTTGTGTTTGTATATTCAAAGTGTGACAAAATAGTATATTGGCATCGATTGGCGTTAATGAGCGTGAAATTACATGAAAAAAAAAATCGTAGTAGCCCAAGAAAACTTTCCAATTTTCTTACATCGCTTGATTGGATCAAGTGACACTGTCACTTTCACTGGTTAGTTCGCTTGTTTGAGCGTGCTATAAAAAGATTTGATCGCTATTTCCATCGTACCATTTTGTTTCGAGTGGATGCACGGGAAAGAAAAAAGTCTCAAGAGTCATTTCTCTGATTTCCACGTTTTCTCTCTCTCTCTCTCTATCTGGCGTTGTGATTGTGACGAGTGTGAGCAATGATTTTCAAATTGATGGTAAACAAACAAGTTATCAGTCATTGTCAGTGTAAAAATGTCGCAGTGTAGATATATTGCCATATATTTTGGATTTTTATTCGAGTGTCTCTTTTTTTATCTTTTTTCTTTCTTTTCCTGTGTGTGTCGGCTCTTGATTAGAATTCCATATTGATGCTGTGCGTGCTCGTGTTAATAATCACAGCCGCTACCGCTTCACCTATTATGCATCATCATCGTGATCATCCTGAGCTGGAGCGTGTGAGATATGGTTTGTGGCACATTTGTAGACATATTTAAAACATGAAACTCTCGTGAGCCGTGTGATGCATAGCAGTCAGGTGGAAGATATTAAATCGTCATGTGTATTACTTGAATTTGCCATTGCTACGTAAATATTTATTCGAATTGGTAGAAATTCATCGCTCTTGCTTTCGCTGAGACCAGCAAAATTCTACGCAACAAAAATTTGTTTTTTCTCTTCTTTTTCGCGTCAGCTTATGCCCACTTGAGCAACAAATACAGAATGAAAACGGAATACGAACAATTTGTGAACATTTAAAGCAACAATAGCATTTTCCCTCGAGGAAGTTTTTTTTCTCCCATGCTATCACTCGGTTTGTGTGTATGTTCTTGTTGTGTGGATAAAAAGATAATCGGTTTTTTAAAAAGTTTGAATGATTGTGTGTATGTTTGTATAAAAGAATGAACGGTGAAGAGCAGGAGAGAAAAATTGATTTTAATATGCATTGTTGTTGTACAACAACATTTTGCGTATAACAACGATGACGATGAAGAAGAACATTCGTCAAAAATCGACTTGAATTTATCATTTTGCTTGTAATTTATGTGATTTATTGTTTTGCTATAAACGTGCACCGTTTTTCCACTTCTAGGTACCATTCCCATCGCACCAAAACGCATGAACCGAGTTCAAATACAAGTGTTTCGCGGCGCAAATAATGAGGAAGAACAATACGCACCATGGGGATTCGTTGTACGACAACCGGCCGACACAAATTATCATTATCGATGAAAATGATGTTTCATTTTGATTTATCTTTTGCTTTCGCTCTGTGTCTTGAATCTATTGAAATTCATTTTGAATAAATATAAGTATGAGTTAGCCGATTTTAGCGTGTTTTTCTGTATGCATGTGTGTGTGTGTGTACGTACTGATGTCCTTATTTCCCATGGTTTTTGTCTGGCAACCGTACAAATCCAATGGCAAAAGAAACAATGCCTTGCCAAAAAAAAGTATATTCATTAATTTACATGAAAAACCGCCGAAACGCACAAAAACACACGAAAATGTTTGTTTGCTAAACAATTCATCATCCGATGGACAATACGAATATTACATTGAAATGGAATCATTTGTAGAAAAAAAATGAGAGCGGGAACTAGAACAGAAACACGTAACTGACAGAGAGGGAGAGAGGAAAATTACACCGTACTGTAATTAATCACATTTTCTGAGAGAAGCTGATTGCACGCAACGTCTCATTGCACGAAGTTATTATGTGTATAGGAAAAAGTGTCTGCCTGATGACCTAACATTAAAGGATTACGTTAATTCGATTTCTTTTCTCAATTTAAAGCGAAATGAGAAAACGAGAGCAAAAAAGAAGAGTTCCGTGTTTGGTGTGTGTGTGTGTGTGTGTGTGTGTGTGTGTGTGAGAGAGAGATAGAAAATGGTAGCCCTTTGCGAATAAAGAATGCGCTTCTAAAATCAAAAGTATAAATAAGTGTAAGCAAACATAAACGCCGATTAATGCAATTGCCATGGGTCTTGATCGCATAATCTTCACTTTAATAATGACTTTGAACGTATTGGCCACCACCTCGAAGTGTGTTCGCGACGCTCAACGGCGTTCTACACAACGCGAATATTTACCGTGGATAGAAATTATTTAGGTTTACCGCAACTGTTTGCTTGGTTTGCCAACATTCAATGTTAATTTTTGAGATTTTGGTGGACTTTTATTCTTCTCTTTCGCCTCTACCTAAATCTAGCTCTAGTACACGAGGCGAAGCGTGTAGGTATCTTTTTTTTGAAAATCCGTACGAAAATGCCAAAAGTTCAATGGTTTTTTTTTATTAAATGTGGCGCAAAAAATTGATTGAAATCTTACGCTTATGTTCGTGCGTTGCGAATTATGGTTTTGCTTTTGTTTTTCTGTCGTATACAGTTTTTTTTTCGTTGGTCGGTTGTTGACACAATGAATAGAACATTGCCACGGAAAATGCCCCGAAATTATAAACTCGATACAAAAGATCTTAAAAGCATTAGACAAAATTCAACGGGTTCGGTACATACAAAATACTCACTCATATTGATTATATCGCGTTGAACAGAAAAGCGCATTATCTCGAGCTTCGATACAACGATCCATTCCCAGTAACAAAAAATTATACTCACCCACACCTCCGTCGCTACCCCAACTCCAGACTAGTTACTACTTCTTCGCTGCTTCTCTCGTTATCGTTATGGATACGTGTCTGTGTCTGTGTCTGCCTCTCTCTCTCTCTCTCTCTCAGTGTGTTTGTGTGAATATGCAAAGTCATGGACGCCCGCCTTATACCAAGTGATACATTGTGCTAGTGTTGCTTCACAACGTGTGTATTTTGGTACGCTTTTAACTCAATGAAATGATAAACATTCCAAAAAGTTCTAAGCCGTGCATATTTAACATAACGCATCTAACTCAGCATTAAATTCATGTTAGATATTTCGACTTTTGACAAAAGTTCTCATACTTGAAAAAAGAACTTCTCCTTCGACGACGACGATGAAGAAGAACATGAACGAAAACCTCTTTCTCAACATTCCCATTTTATTTTTATTTTGTATTTTTCCTGATGCTGTTGCTACTGCTGCCGAACTTTGTGGAACAATGTTCGGAAATTCTTGTTTTTTGAAAATGTGGAAAATATCAACAACTATAAATCTAGCACGAATTTTTAATTGGATTTTTATTAGCCGTTCATTTCGTTTCATTTCACAGAAACCGCCGGGTGGATGGCTCAAAGGCTGCTGTTGAACGTTTCATTATTATTCCGTCAACCCAGCTAGCACAACTATTCTTAGCGTCTACTTAGTTTAAACCTTATTCGAAGTTTATTCTTAGTATTTATCTGTAATGTTCTTACTGTATTCAAATATAAGTAATATGCAGAGAATAGAGGTATACTGTGCTTGTTCTTAATATATTCTCTGACGGTTTTCATTTTCAATGTTCTTAAAATATTCTAAAAATGTTCTTAAAATGCACTGTTCTTAACATGAGCACGTTTTGAATAAGTTAAGTATAGAATCTGACATGTTCGTGATAACATGTTCTTACTGTATTCTTTGCTTATTCTGTGGAACATAACACTTTATATATGCACTGACTCGCACTATAGGTAACATGTGCATATGGGCGAGATGTTCAAGTGGCAGGCATTGAGATCGAGAAAACCAAGGTTCGAAACTCAACGGATAAAATGAAAAATATTTAAAAAAAAATAAAATGAACATGAAAATAAAATTGAAATAATCTACAAATTGTAAAATAATAAAAAAAATGGAAAAAAAGAAAAAAAATAGGAAGTAAAAAGAATAATGGCAAACGAAAGGTGTACGGCAAAAATATTTTTCCGGCGGTTGCTGATGTTCTTAATGGAGCCTTAAATTATACTTATAGTGTACTTATAGTGTACAATAAGAACATCCTACGCATACATATCGGAATAAAAATGGTGCCCTTTATGCCTTACCCTGTTCTTATAGCGTTCTTATAGAATACGATAAGAATAGCTTATTCTATTCTAGAATTGGATAAGAATACGCAAAGTAGAATTGTGCTAACTGGGAATTGGGTTGAGACTTGTTATGAGTTCAACCCATTAACTGACACCATAAAAATGTTGAAAGTCAATTATTTCGAACCGCCTCAAACTAAAAACCGTCGTATTACACACGGGGAGCCATCATTCCCAAAGGCAAGGTAATTTGCGACGGAAATTGCACATAAAATATTTGACATGAAAATAGAATAAAAAACAAAATATATATATATTGCGTGATTCAGTTTGCTGTAATTAAAATCAAACAAGAATTTTCTTTGTGTCCATTTTTCGTTCGTTTTATTTTCGGGATGATGAAGACGGAAAATTTTCACAACTTAAAGAAAACGACACACAACAAAAACGAAAATAATAAATGAAGAAAAACACTGAAAAAACAAACACCAAAACAACAGAAGAAAAAGCAAAACGTGATAATAAATGGAGAAAAGACGTCGACGACATCACTTTGCAATTGGTTGAAAAGCTTGAGGAAATCGTTCACTGCAAGAGCCCATCTGTTAAGCAGCATGAAGCATACGAATCGTTCAAAAGCTTTCTTTGTTTCGCTTTGTGCAAAACAACATTCGGAAGCGTTCGCTGTCAACGCAGTTAAACGAATAAAATGTGTAATAAAAGCGTTTATTAAATATTGAATTAAATTCAGTCTCATGCTCGGTATGAAAGAAGGGGAGTGAGATAAGCAAAGAGAGAGTGTGTGTTTGTGAGAGGGAAAAACAGAAGGATAAAGAGAGTGATAGGAGAATGAGAAAGAAATGTACTGATGATCTGATCAAACGAAATGAAGAGAGCGAGAGTTTATTCAATGGAGTTCACACAGCAACAAGAAAGCGGATCGAACGAATGCATAAAACATTTACGCTTTTCATTAGTGCTGTTTGCTATTGCACTATCTCTCTTTATTTTCCTCTGTTTATCGAGTGCAGCCATAATGACAACGCAACGTCGCACGTCAATCGTTCAAATGGGACTCACATTTAAATACCAATTAATTAATTTCACAAGCGAATCTCAATTGAATCTCACATATAGCGTACTCTGTGTAAAAGACAGCGCCTATAGTGGTGGTAGATATTTCAGTAGTTGATTGGTAGCTAACCAAAATTCATTAATATAAATACGTTCAATATGCACAGAATAAACATCCAAATACCGAATGATGACGTTCGACAAATTCTTTCTTCGGTTGTCAGGTCCCGAAACCAATTGCCACATTTGAAACGTATAAAATATTCAACATTTTAAATATCCTACATTAGTTTGAAATAATTTATTAATGATTGAATGCGTAGTGTTTAGGCAACGATAAATCCAATGCAAATATTACCTTAAATGTCCCTGGCCAGTACGAAATTAACATCTAAAGATTTATGCGAATCGATTGAAATACACTTGATGCACATTTTCGTTGGCTGCACCACTTTTCGACATTTAAAAAAAAACGGGAATAATATTTAAAGAACATTTTTTCGTATGGCAATTGTCCACTCAAGTCTTGAAAATATGAAGTAATCAAAATTGATTTTCTTCACTTTTTCATTGTGCAATTCTTTAAAGCGATAATATTGTAAAGTCCATTCATTTTTTTTCCACCCGAAGTGAAAAATAATAATAAAAAAAAACTTCCATTCAATCTGAACATCGAATGAACGGCATATGCAGAAGAATGGAAAATGTGAATAATATCATCATCATGACAGAATTCTCTAGGAAATTCAACAAATGATTACAAGACTATATTCACAATTCCCCCGAAAACTGAAATCTGTGCGCGTGTTTGAATACAGTTGCGAATAATGCCAATTGAATTTATTGAATCGGACGTCTTCGATTAGATATGCCAAAAGGTTAACTACAACCGAATGAAATGCATAAATCCGATGCGACTGACCAGAAAAGGGTTCGAATTAAATATAATTCCATTTATTTTTACCCAATGAAAATTTATTGAATAAAGTGAAAAAAAAATGAGAAATCGCGAATCATGGCCACCATTGCATCATCCACCGCTGCTCATCCGCACAATATTTTCAATTGAAAACTGGATTGATGCATTTATCAAAAACATTAAAATGCGCAATGTGTACACCAACATCCCCTTGATTATGTTTAACATTTAAATGATCTAATCAAATATTGATTGGCATAATTCAAAAGTTGTGTGAATTTGGGAGGATGCATTAACAACCTCATGCCATACACATACACGCACACACAAAATGCAAAGTGAATAAAAACATATCCGATCCAAATGCAAAATCGCCTCGACTCAAGAGACAGTTTTCGCTCTCTCTCTCTCTCTCTCTCTCTCTCTCTCTCTCTCTCTCTCTCCCTCTCTCTCTTTTGAACTTGTTTAAAGCGCCAAAATCGAAATCGAAATGCAAACTAAACGAAATGAATCAGAGCAGAAATTGTGGGGTTTTTGTTCCACGCTTGTTTTTATTCGATGATTCTGCCATTAATTGCTAACAATGTGCAGGCCGAACAGAGGAGAAAAAAATGAAAGAAAGAACAAAAAGAAAGTTTCCATAATAAACTCCGAGACTGCATGCTCGGCCGAACAATTGACAACAAATTCGGAGACATTCAACAATCCTACACACAGCGCAAAAACAAGAAAGGTTTCAGCAAAACGAAAATAATTGCAATAAACTGAATTTATGACACATTTTTTGTTGTTGCTTCATTTTTGTTCTTTCATCGCAAATTTCGCCCACGAAAAAAAAATGGCCCAGCATCTAACCGTATATAGATTCGAATTGATACACAATTTTTTTCTTCTTCTTTCTGCTTGTGATAAATGTTGCCCAATTAAAAACCATTTCAACTTTGTAGTTGAAAGAAGAACTTTGTAGTCTCTGTTTTTTTTCGCTTGTCCACCCCCCCCCCCCCTCCTATCTCCCTATCCCTCTCGATAGAATGAGCGACAAGAGCGAGTTCACGCGCTTTCACTCAAAAAGATGAATGTTCAAATTGGGATTAATATTTTTCGAAGTTGCTTCAAAAATCAAGACGCATAATTTGCATCACAAATTTTTGGAGTTTGGTCCATTCTAAGCTTGCTCATTTTTTGATTTGGAATTTTATTATTTCACAAATTCCAAATTATATTATTGTTATTAATGGACGTGTTTCGTTGTTCGTTTTCTCGCTCCCACTTTCTTTCAGTCTGTTGTTCGGTTGCCATTCGTCTGGGTCATTCATACTTTCCATTTAATGCTCTCTCATTCCGAGCGGTGCACACCCAATGTCATTGGTTGTTTCGTTTTATAATTCGCCGGTTTTTTGCATTTTTCTACTCACATTTCCAATAGCTTTTTGTCTACCCCACATTTTGTCTATTGTATTTTACATTTAATGTCATGGTATTCATTGTAAATGCCGTTTGATATTACTGGTGACATGCCTTGGTTGTGTGAACGTATACTGTGTGTCGTCATACTGTTACGACATTCTTAATTATATTATTATTTATATGTTGTTGCCGAAAGATTTATGTGTTTTTGCGTCAGAAATTGTCAGGTGAATCATCCCGTCCTGTAATAATGCTGAAATATTAATGCATTTACCAAACGTTAGATTGAATTGTGCAAACCAAAGTTGAATATACAAAATACGCGAAGCTTCAAAAACATTAAAATAAAAATTGACTCGAAAAACGTACACATCAAAAATACTGAAACATGACGGGATAAACAGAAGAATACATGAAAAGAATCTAAAAAAAAAATTGGTTATTCTAAAAATGAGAAGAAAAATAAACGGTTCGACAAATATGAAATCAATGTGTACGTGTGAGTGAGAGAGATTCAACTGAACTACAAAGGATGAAAAGGATGAGTGCGCATGTTTGACATAGAAAGTAAATTGAAATTGATGTGACATGCACACGAATCATATGGTTTTGAGCACAAACACACCGGCACACTATCGAATGCGGATATTCGTTTAGCAACACACAATTATGTGTTTCATTCATCGAGAAAATAGAGAGGCAGAACTGCAAACAAAACAGAGGAAGAGAGAGAGAGAGAGAGAGAGAGAGAGAGAGAGAGAGAGTGAGATCAACAGTACGAGAAATGGAAAAGACTAACATCAATTCGACAGACGTGCGATCTCTGCGACAGAGATGCACCATCCAGCAAGCATCGAAGTGTAAGCAAAAAAAATAAAGCAGAGCACAAGCTTACCGTCCCTAGCCATTACCATAACTTCGCCAATGCTAGACAGGGAGCAAAATGTGCGAGTCGAGAGAAAAAAATAACGCAACAATTTAAATTGCAAAGAAAACAACGACAAATCTCCAAACAGAAGGCAACAATGTTTTAAATATCAAGAGGTTTGCAAACAATTAATCAAACCGTAAAAGGTAAACGACCCAAAACGACGAAGACGACATCGTTGATGTGTCTTCATCGCAGTCATCGTTGCACGGCATTCGAATCGCGATTCTCGAAAAAATAGCAATAATTGAACGCCTTTGAAATGGGCAAACAACAGCAAAATATCTAGCGATATCATAATTACTCGAGTCTCTCTGTCGTTCATTTTTTATATTTAACATCGTCGTCGTCGTCGTCGTCGTCGTCGTCTTCCTAGACGCGTCTGTTGTGCAACGTGCGGCCGATTCGAATTGAAAATCTGGAAATCTGACTAAATGTATGTTTATAGAGCGTTATTTTGGTGTGTACCGTTTTGTGTTGCAAATTGTACGTTGTTTGCTTTTGATACACTTTGCGTGTGTTTCCCTTTTTTATTCGTAATAGCGACTTGAAAGTATTACTCACCCTTCATCCCTCTCCCTTTACCTCTCTCTTGCTCATTCGTTCATTTTGTCGTTTGCCGTCTGCATCGATACTACCAACGGTTTTGTTAGTTCGCATATATTTTTTTCTTTCATCGTTTTGTTTCATTATTGTCCCTCTTATTGCTACCAATTTTTGCTCGAAACTCGCGAATTCAGTTGGCAAAAATGTTTATTTTTGTTGTTGTTGCTGTTTTTGTTCTGTCTTGTTGTTGACTGTGTCATGTGCCTCTCTGCGAGTTCGTTCGATTCCATTGTGGTGGTGAAAGAGCACGCGACACATATATAAAATGAAATCGAAGCTTTGTACTCGTAAGCGCCTCTATGTCGAGGCACACGCCGTACATTTGAGAGTGTGTGTGTGTGTGTTTGTGTGCGTGTGCATGGATAGACTATCACATTCATGTTGGGATTTGTTTGCAAGCCAATATCAACTCTAGCACGCGCTTTTTCCACTTTTCCACTATGCAAGGCGACAGAGTCGAGCACAATGGGATCGTACGATTGTGTTGGTGTTGGTGTTGGAATGTCGTAGTATGTGCTAACGCTTGTGTTGTTCTTGTTGTTGTTGTCATCCTCATGCAGTTAACTCACAAACGCTTTTCGATATTTATTCACCCTGTAGTGAAATGAATTTACATGAGACGGCATCGACAGCGGCAGCAAGAGCAGCAGCAGAAGCAGCAGCAGCACCACCAACAACATACCAAAATGGAAATTACTATACACACAGCGATCGAACGGCACCGTTTCAGTCGTAAACTGAATGGTAACAAAGTCGGACGCGGAAAAACTTTTTGCGCTAACATACATTGACCTAAAACATAGATTCCAAGCAAATGAAAAAGTTTATCTGATAAATTCGAGTAGTACACAGACACGGCTAACGAGCATTTCGGCCGAGTTACGTTTAATTTTGAGTTTTTTTTTTTGTTCTTTCGTTGGAAATTTTGTTTCCGTAGCAAATCGAGGATAGTCACAAAGAAGGAAGAGAGCGAATTATCGGTGTCGTGAGGCGAACGAAACTCGGATGCCCGGTTTTCGAAAAACGAAGAAAAATAATCACAGTGAAAGTGTAACATCAAAGTGTATGAGCTCGTAAAAAAATTTTTTTCGTTTGTTTCATAACACATAAACTTGAATATCTCAAAGTATAATCGGAAGGCAGAAAAAAAATCCATTAAAATTACGTTTGGTTCGAATGGTGAAACAAAGTCGGTTTGGACCGCGGTGAATAAAATAATCGATCAAAAATTTTGCGACACCTAATTTCCGTAAACAGAATTAAATTATGATGTAAAATAATACGAGATCGATTGCACGACAAAAGCAAAACTGTTTTTGGTTTTATTTTGGCTTTTCTTTCGGAAAGTTTAGTGCGAAACGAAGAGACAATTCCAAAAAATAGAACATGTTCGAAAAGCATAAAAAGCAGATAACACAAGCAGAAAGAAGAAATTAACATTTCAAAAAAGGTAAATAAACGACCAATCACCCTCTCGCCCCCTCTACTCCACAACAACCCTTAAGCAATTTGATGAATTTGCAAATGACCGACGAGCAAAACTCACACGGACATTTCATGATTATAATTTTTCGTTCAGTGCTGAATTGGACATAAATACGCCATACGTAATCTGCTCTGTGTATTGATCACTCAATCGGAGTGACCGGAGCAGCAACAATATTGGAGCAAAAACCATTTGCTTCGCTTTCATGTTTATTAATTTCCAATTCAATCTCTTACCGCTTTGTTGGTGTGGTTTTGTTTTGTCGTTTGGCCCGTTGTGCATTTTTTCGTTGCCATTGCTGCTGCTGCTGTTGTTGTTTTTATTGTGTATATTATGTTGCGGTCATCTACGCGGTTTCGTTTCGACATTGCTATTTACTCAAGAACTCTATGTATGTGTGATTCACAAACGGGACGGGAAAAAAGGAGAAACGAACAAAAAAAATTTCATTTTTTATTTCATCGTTCGCATTTTACCGTTTGCAATCGCTTTAACACGTTACTTAACTTCAAGCGATCGTCTTTTTTCTTCTTCGTCTCTTTCTTTTCACCTAACTCTGTCTCTGTCACACTTTCTCTGTCCCTATTTCGCGTGCGTCCATTCTACAGTCGAATTGCATGATTCCACCAAATGCATTTATGGTTGCCGAGTGATATTTTGGTTTTGAATGCACTTCACTTCATTCATCCTTAAATTTTTTATACATTCTGATTACGTTGCCGTTGCTGGTTTTCTATTTTCGTTTTGGTGTAGTAGTTTCGAATCGTTGTTATTTTGTCATTTATTGCCAGCATGCCATTTTCTGTCATTGGCCGCAGAGAATGCGAGTGAGAAAGCGTGCACCGTACCCAAAGAATAAGTACAATGTATTCGAGTGATGAGACGAACAGAGAAAGCTTAAAGGAGGCAGCAAATGAATTGAAGACGAAAAATGGAGAAGAAAGAGAGAGAGACAAAAAACAGCAGCAGCAGTAGGTGCACAACACATTCAAAACAGGGCGAAAAAGAAGAGAAGCAGGAATTTTAGCATGAAATAGAACTGTTACACAAGTGCAATAACCTACTTTTGCCTCTTTATTTTTCATATTCAATTGTTGGTGGCTTTTCCCTTTAGCGCACTCACTCTTCACGCCCTTGCTCTCTCGCTCTCTTTTTCTCTCTCTCTATCTGTCGTTCTCGATGCATAGCGGGCGAGAGTCTCCCGAGGTTGATGTGTGAAAATACGCTCCTTTTTTTCATTTCGATCCGATCTTATTTAGTATGAATCCGGCGGCAGCACACCAAAAGCTTGCTGCTGCTGCACATCAATCTATTGTATGTGCAGCAGTTCAGTTCTCGCGTCTACCGTACCGAACTTTGTCGAATGTATATATCATATCATATACGTAACGAAATCGAAAAACACCACGGTATGAAAGTTGAACGGAAAAAAGGATTGCCAATGAAACTCGGTAATTTGATGTGTATGTACTGTGCTCGGTGAAATTGAGAGAGAGAGAGATAGAGATATAAATTGTTTATGTTTGACGCATATGAATACTCATTAGGCCAACCCATTTTCAAATGATCAATTATCTCTGACCGCCTTTTCATGGCAAAACAATTCTAGGCGTATTTTGGTGTTTAGTGTGTGCAAAATAATGATAATGACGATGAAAATATCCCGAAAATTTCCAAAATAACCGAAATCGTTTTAGCAATAGTTTTATTGATGTGTGCAGAGGGTGAACCCAGCAAAGAGCTTCTCCGGAAATTATCGCTCAATTATATTCGCATTGGCCAAGCTACAAAGCTTCACCTTACGAGGAGACGAGAACAATCATGTTCCTGGAATAAATGATGAGCCGCATTTGAAAAGAATTCGTGCGAATGTGGTGCGGACAGGCGGATATAGGAGTGAGTGAAAAAAAAGTTACAGCAATGGAGAGTGAATGCGATGAACCAATGAAGAGAAACAAAGATAACTTTTTGTGCATGTAATGTTCTGTCGTAATAATGTTAGGCCGGTCTAGTAGTGTTCAACAGCTAGAAAAACGTGCAAGGGTAGGCAATTGGTGCGACTGCTGCCGTATTTGTCTTTCAAATGTGGTAACATGTAGAATTCGTTATGAATGTAAGATTTTGGCCGAAGTACATTAGAAATGGTGGTTTTGAAAGTTTAGCAGCATTTCCCACTATCGTATTGTACAATCAACTATTCGAATTGTAAATGTTTGTTCGTTTTGTTTGGCTGTTTGCCGTTTATCATCCCTCTATCTCTATCCATCGCACCCAAGCACCGCACCATTTAATTTTAGCCTGTACTTTGTCGGTTTTGATTTTGGTGTGTCTATGTGTGTGAACTGTGCATATACTGTGTGTTACACAACACACGTTCGTTCATTCGTTCGCACCGTTTCATATATGAAACCATTGAACTATTCCCGTATTTTGCAAATATCTTATGAATTTATTATGTTTATGCTACACATCGAACGTAACAACGGAGCGAAATGCAAACAGTGTGCCAGTATTAACGTGAAAACGTGCACGTTGTTGTCGTCGATGACGATGACTCGAGGCCAATAGTGCGAATGAGAGCCAACATAATCGGCAAATTAACCATTTTGTCACATGGGGCAAACAAATCGAAATAAGTCAAACGCGTGGGTGTGTGCGAGAGAGAGAGAGACACAGAAAGCGAGACAGTGATTTGGATAAAGATAGACAGAGAACGAGTGAATCGCATTCAAATATTTATACATTAAATAAATTCATCCAGCTCTCGATCCCTCTTCACTTTGCCCAAAATGTTTATATATGTAACTTTTAGTGAGTACACTCAATTAGATTTTATTTGTTCGACTCTCGTGCTCGTTCTCTCTTTGCCTTCGTTCTTCTCATCGTCTGTGTCTCTCTGCATGACTTGGTCTTACCTGTTTGAATCGAGAAAATGAGTATGAAGTTTACGATGTTAGTATGTTGCAAGTAGCGATTTGTCACGGTGTAGTCAGTTCAGTGAGTTGCTGCTAAAATTGCTTGATGAAATCGATGAAAATCGATTTCGTTTCTTCGTCCCGTCTATTCACGTATTTGGTTTGAGCTATCTAGTGCATGAAAGCACATCTCAAAAACCCGGAAATTCACTAAACTATTCTTAATAATTTATCAGTAGCAATCTTGTGGATTTTGTTTTTCAAAAAAGACTCTTTGAAAACGCAAAATACAACAAAAATATCCAGAGTTTTGCCTTTTCATCCATGTTCTTCCCCCTTCTCTTAGTAATTCCTATTTTCTCTTGAAATTGTTGTTCAATACCACAAAATCACTTTCGAATAGAGTTTCCCTGAACACAACATTTGGGTAAACCGATTCAATCACATTGAGTCAGTAAAGTAGGGCTAAGAGATGGACACACCTGAGCAGGCAACAATGCTCAGGAAAAAATGAGATAAAATTAGGCAATTCAACGATTTAAGTCATATGTAGATAATCCTCGTGTGAATTTATTGCTGATATACAACCAACAGCACATCTTTACACCGTACACCCTGGTGCTGGTGCTGCTTCTGTGAGTTATTATTTGTTTACGGCGCGTGATAACAATTGAAATATCACATTCTCCATTTGGAATGAAAGAGAGGAATGAAGAAATAATAAAGAATGAACACAGTTGTCGGAATTATGTTGATTTGAAGTGGAAACGAAACGAAAATTTACGGGTGATGCGTTTCAAAATTTTCACCTGATTGATTGAGCAAGATTCGTTTGTTCGCTACAAAACACATTAAACGTCGTTTTGGTGAATGTCCGCATGTGCAAGCTTACCGTAAATTCGTTACAATAAAAATCCGCCCATTCTCCTTCGAAAAGAAAAAGAAAAGCCGCCCAGATTGAAATATACTGGCCGAGTAGAAAATAATGTAGTCGAATTGTATGGCCAGAGTGTTGGAAAGGCGAGTAAGATAAACGCCTAAACATCAAAATCAAAGTGTATTTATCTGTCCATTGAATATAACGAATCGACCGACTTGTCTGACACTTTGTTCAAGATGTGCGCGTGAATTCGCGCGCGCACGTTAGATTCTCTTTTTAGCACTACATGGAATGTAGGCTACTGTAGTGATTTTTTTTCCCCGAATTTTTTTTAAGACACTTTAGGCCATTTTTTGGACCGTAAACTAATTCATTTTGATATCCATATCTTTTATTTCAAATGAAGCAATTACGCCTAATTGCAAAAATGAAATAATATCATGTTCACGTAATTCAATTTTGAGATAACTCAAAAAAAATTGCTAACACTTTTTTCGTTGCCAATGTGAAATAATGTACGATGACCATTCACATTGAACGTACATTAAAACAATAATTGAAGAATACAATATCATCATATGAATTTATTTAATTATTTTTGACAATATCAAAATGATTTATAACTAAAACTTGCAAAACAAACATTTCCAACGATTAAAACTACATTCCATGTAGTGCTTACGATAATAATTTGATGCGAAACATCAAATTATTTAAATCCCTTAAATTTACAAGCTTCAAGAATGCAGAGCGAAGCGAGGCGACGATCTGCGGTCTCGTTTTTATCTGTTTCGTTACAAAAGGTTGGGTTAGAAGATTGATTGTTCCTACTCTCACTTCACTTCTTGCTACTAGTACTGCTTTTTTTTCCTCCCTGCCTCTTCTTTTATTCAAAGCTGGTTGTTGCTGTTGTTGTTTGGTTTTCTTTCATTTTTTTATTCACTGAAGCAGTAAGCGTACACAAAAGGAGTTGTCAATTTTCTCACGCCATAAAAGCATTTTACTTTTGTTTACACTGTACACACAGACAGAGCAGGCAATGTCGATAGAACTCGACCGATTGTTGCTTTGCATTTTCATTTTGTGCACAGTAAAAAAATAACAACAAAATTTATTTGCCTGAGATCGTTCAATTTTAACAGCATTCTTCGTTATTGCAATGAAACTGTCAAATGCACAGTGAAGCGCCCAATGAAATGCCATCGCTCAGCTCTCGAAACAATATATACAGATAGTCGACAGAGACGGAACAAAAAATATGACAAAGATATGAGAATAACATTCACGTCTACCATCACAATCCGGTTGATGCGTGTGCTACTTCTTTTACTTCTTTTTCTTTTTCTTCAGTAAATAAATTGCTATTTGTCGCAAGCGTGTTTATTTCTTCATACCGATTGTATTCTCTTTTTCTTTTCCACTTGTATACGTATGTGTTATGTTTCTTTTGCACGTGTGGCATTCTTTTGTTGTACGTGTCCATTTTTTGGCAGCCGAATGATTTCGATGTTACATCAAATAATAAATGCCGAAGAAAATGTGAATGAATGTAAAATGTGTGTGTGTAAGAGAGAGAGAGAGAGAGAGAGAGAGAGAGAGAGAGAGAGAGAGAGAGAGAGAGAGTGTTTGAGTGGGAAAGAACGAAGAAAAAATTTGGGTGTCAAACAAATGTATAGCAGTTTAATAAATCATTTGTTGTTTTTTTCCTCATTCTTGGCATGGGCAAATAAAGCAACAACAACGAAATAAAACAAAAAGAAAAAATATTACATTGGCCAAATGCACAATAAATATGTGATGTATTGCTATTGTCAAACTGAACATATATAGTGTTATTTAAAAATAAAACAGACAGAAGTGAGCGACACAATGAAATAAATATTCATCGACAGTAAAAAAAAAGAAGATTGAATTGAGAGTTGATGTAATAAAATATCAAATTTTTGATTGCCTTCCAGCCTTTCAAACTGATTCGAGGGCCGGAGTGAGAAAAAAAACGTGCCGAAATATTCTAATAAAAAAGGACAATATTATCAAATCGGAGAATTTAACGAAGAAAAACACACACACATCGAAACTCTAATTAACGACATTTAGAACAGAACATTTAAATTGTTCACCTAGGCCAACATTATTATTATTATCAATTGTTGCAAATATATCAGTGGACATCATGTGATCGGCACACTGAACGTCACGTTTGTATCAGATGTGATACACCGCTTCATTTCCACGAGGTAAGTTTTTATAGATTATATTGCACATCTTACCTGTGTTCCGCCCCTTCCCATTGAGTGTGTGTGGTTCAATGCGGTGAACTCAATGTTTGCTTGTATTGCCCAGGTGAAAATTCCATGGGTTTAAATGGTTGACAATCATTTTTATCGCTCGATTCACACTTGCCTATCGTCATAAAACCCACCAGATAGCAGGAAAAGATGAATTTCATATTCCAACAACCGGCAATGAAGATTTTGCCTTTCCGCAAGGGACTACTTACCTTCAACCTTTTGCTCTGGCGATCTACCGTTGTGCGGTTTCGTGTGCTGACAAACACATATACACGCATATAGAGTTAGAGTAAAAAGCTCCCGGATTGAGTGTACATTTCCAGAGTGCATGCAGTAGAATTTCATCCATCAATGAAAGACAAGCCGAGAAGTGATTCGTGATTATCAAACGCATATTTATTAAATGTATCGTTCCATAGAAATAAAATTAGTGCACAACTAATGGAAAAAGGGCAGGTCATCCACATACACACATCGTCTAACATTCAATCTCATGAACTCATTGATTGAGAAATTTTTTTTCACAATTTTGTAATCTGATACGCACCGTTTTCAATAACGGATACACACCATCATCAACAAAAGTGCCGAATGACAGTTTACGAGCATATTGATTAGTTTTTTTTTAATGTGTGTCAATGGTCTAGTGGCATATCATCATTCAACAACGGCGTGTGGTGTATGATTTTGGAATTGCACTCAGCACATTTTATCATAGATTCGATTTATCACATTGTATTTGAAACTGTAGCTTCAGCTCAATTTCCTCTTCTCTCGCACCCGGCACGACTCAACCTCGCTCGCTCATTGTGATCAACGCATGTGAGCGAGTTGAACGCAATTTTTAGCTCCATTACCAAATGTAGCGCTCGTTCTCATTCAATCCGTTCTAGCCCGTGCTCTCTCTGCCTCTCGCTCTCCACTTCTCTTGAAAAATAAAATAAAATAGTAAACACTTTGAAGCAAACGCAAATGAAATAGAAATGACATAATTTCCGCAATAAAAGTATACAGAATGCTCGATACGATTGAACTATTAAATAAACTAACGGAATGTTTAGATTGCTCACAATTCGCTATATTTTCTCTGTCTCTTTCTTCCTCTCTCTCTCTCTCTCTCTCTCACTCTTATTTCACTCCTCTTCTCACTGGTCGACAGTTACTCCTTTTGCATGAGTGAATCGATTTGTTTGTGATGATAACGAAACGGCAACCGTTTCGCTCAGTCGCTCGTGTTACGGCAAAATTTCCATTTCCGTCCGAGAAAGAAAAATAAGAGAGAGAGAGAGAGAGAGAGAGAGAAAGAGAGAGAGGAACAGAGTAAAAAAACTGCACACAGAAATTTAAACCCGAGCAATGAAAAACTATTACTAGAAATGAATGTGTGTGTGTGTGTGTGTGTGAAAGCCCATTTTAGCCACAAGCAACCACAATGCGATGCGTGTTGAAAGCGAATTGTGAGCAACCTATTTGGACTTTTATGTAGCCGCATACAAATGGCACAGACATTCGGTGCAATTAGAATAGGCCCGTAAAATACTCTTTAATCCGTTTTAACATTAACCTATTACATGCATACAATATAACCAACCGACCGACCAGCCGACCGTACGTAGGCACAACGAAAAGCTGTTGCTTGTCGACTAGCTGAAGCCCACTCGCTGTCACATAATGGAATCATTCTTTTAAATAATTTAAACGTTTTTCACATACACCAAGAGCTTCTTTATCAAGCGACCGCGTATTATTGAAATCACGTCGACAGTAACTCAACAACCAACCCCCTAAACACCACACGTGCGTGCTTAATTTGAATTGGGCCAACGATCAAAACATTTCACTTCTGTTGCGAGTGCCGAATCAAATACGACTATGCTATCGATGCATACAGACACAAAAAATCCCAACCGAATGGTACAGGGTACACAAAAGCAGTCTTTAGTTAAGTGGATTTTCAACTTTAAATAAGTGGAGATTACATCTTGTAATAAGTGCCACGTCATCAAAACTAACGGAAAAAATTCACACAACTCAGAGCCAAAATAAATGGGTGAGCATGCACGCGCGCGTCCGCACAACCACAACATTTTCCGTGAACGCATCTTCGTTCCGTTAGAATTTCGAAGAAATTCGTCTCGAATCAAAATTTTCTAAGCTTGGTCGTTGCACCCGGGAAATGGACAATAAACTCTTTCACTATTTTCATCGTTTACGAAAATATTTGTGTGTATTCACCGAAATATATACATGTATATGATATTTTATACTGTTTGGATAACAAAACAAAGAGACATTGGCACCGAACGCCATGAACGCTATTTCCCAAACTTTTGTCCATAAGCCGAGAGCGCGCGCCAATCGGGCGTCTCTTTCTTTCTTTTTCGCTGTGTGACCGAACTTGCTGGAAAGCGAGACAATAATCGTGCTGGCATTTCGACGATCTCGCATAAACGCCAACAATGCTAAACGGCAAAAATACTCCTCGCCATTCTTCTTGGAACAGAGCGTTCAAATCACCACACATAAATACACACACACACACACACACACAATGGAATAGTCACAACAATGCTATGTAGTAAAAAAAAAAGAAGTAAAAAAAACAACTTCGTGAAAGAGAGAGATCAGACCGAAACATAAAAGGATATATTTTGATAAGAATCCTTTTTCATTCATTTTATTTATCCAACTGGGCCTGTCTAAACAATTTGGTTATTTTATTTCTACTTTTGTAAACAAGCGATGTCGCCGTTGCTGCTGCCATCGTCAACGATGTCGCATCCCATCATATCACAACATCAAATGTGATATACCAATCAAATAGACTGCTATGCTCCAGCAACCGGCCCCAGCCGTACATACATGTATATTTATGTGTGCGTTTGTGTGTGTGTTTCAATTATGGAAAATATTTTGTGGTAGTTTACCGCCAAAATCGATTTGTTTTCGACGCAATCATCACTAAATTTTTAATATAAATAAGGGAGGAGAGAAAAAAAAACGCACTGCCAACCGACCAAAATGACAACAACCGGCTCTATTGCATTGTTTTAAAAGCAAAATTCCAAATAAATCCGAAGAGCATTGAGTAATGTCGATAATGTGGTTTCGGCATTATGCTTGTTTTGACTCTCCCGTTCGCTCGCTTGCTCTCTTCCTCGTTCATTCCTCTTTTTTTTGTTATGATTATCGTGAGATGGAAAGGCATACGGGACGATGTGCTCGCGTGAATTGAATTGTCATGTGCGTGTGTGTGTGTGTGTAGATTGAATGCCATTTCTATTTAGACGTAACGAGCAAACGAATGAATGAAGGAACGAAACGCGCGCGTTCACATCGATGATGGCAAATAGGCGATGATTTAAAAATCGACATGCACATATATAGAGACACACACAATATCTCTGTTTCTCATGCTACTGGTAATCATACAAAATGACTACCGATTACCAATACCGTATATATATCTTCCTACATGCACACACATAGAGAAAATGAACATTACTATTGCTCAAATGATTTTCTGTTTCGTTTCTCTTTGTCAGCGTTGATTGCCATTCAACTTTATGTTTATCCATTTTTTATTCGTTCTTTTATAGATCGTAAATTGGTTAGAGAGACGCTTTTCAAGAGCAGTGATATGGAAAGAGTGAGTGAGAGAGTGAGAGAGAGAGAGAGAGAGAGAGAGTCAGAGGCGGAGATCGAGTGGGTAGGAGAGAGAGAGAGACAAATATGAGGAAGAAAGAAAGAACGCGAGCGGTGACAGATAGTACGAATAAGAATGTGTTCCAGCACGTTCACGTTCACAACACATATATTGCGGAATGCTTTTCGTGCATTGTCCTTTTATTCGTTTTTCGTGTTTCGTGTTTGCGAACAAACGTTTGCCTCATTTTCCTGTTTGCTTAATGTTTCCTCATCACTCTCTCTCTCTCCCTCTCGCTATCGAGAATCGGTTTGAGGTGCGTGAGAACTCAATCCAAATACTATATAGCTCCCATCGGTTTTCTTTTTCTCTTTCTTTTTCACTCGCTCGCCATATCACCAGTCGTTCTTCCCACTTTTTGTCACTTCAGAACAGATATCAGTTCAGTTTTGTGTGATAATAGAATCATCAACGATGTTGCTGCTCTATGAAAGGCGAACTGAAACCGCGAACAAAAAAAAAAACACATTCAAGGAATGAGAACGGAAAAAAGGAATGCCAAATCTATTGTATACCGTTTCGTCAATACACATAAAAGGAGAGAGAGAGGGACCCACACACACACACAGTGACCGCAGAGTCAAAAGTTTGATATAGCTTCTAATACGAAATGACAATCGATCGTAATTTATCATTAGGATACGTTTTATGCGAATATGATTTGATGACTGATTTTATGTGAGCTTTGTTATGGAAGTCAATTCTGATGGACTCTACGGTCTCCGTCAAATATACGCACAAACGAACACAACGGCTTGGAGCAAACGAGTGAGTGAGCTTGTTTGATGTTTACTTAAGTAATATGTACCTGACTTTGATTCGTCGTCGTCGTCGTCGTCGTCGTCGTCATCGGAAATTGGTAAATACGGAACACGACGAACGAAAGAAAATAGGGAGAAACGAAGCTAGAACGAATGGAAAAAAAGAGCGTAACATTTGTCTATTAAGTAGATTCTGATGTGTGCTGTTTTGATTGCGATCGTCTTCGTCGTAAAAGCGTAAGACAAACGACCTCGCTCTCGCGTATTTTATCAAACGAAACATGTCGAGCTTAAATGAAACAACGCGCGTGGTTTTTTTTCGCTTTCTTTGTTCAACGTTTTTTCGCTCTCTATTTCTTTAACAACAAACCACAACGTAATGAGGTTGACACACTTTTGCGCAGCGAAAACACTATGCAAATTTCAGCCGGTATTGTTTTACTATTCTGTACTCTTTGCCCGAATTCCAAGACAGGCAA